AGGTTGATATTTCACTCTTAGCCATCCCTCAGGAGTCCTCATTAGGTCCACTGATATTCAATTTGTTGATTTAGTTGCAACTGTACGATGAAAACAAAATCCCATACTTAGATGAATTTGTTTTAGTTCCTAGGATCGGAAGAGAGGCAACACGAATCAATCATTAATCGAAGGTTAGTGTTAGGTAAAAACGATTCTAAAGAGCAAAATCCCTTGTTATAATCAAAAAACAACAAAAAACCGGCTTTTGAGCGAAACAAATAAGTTTCTTGATTTAGTGCAACTGACCAAAATGCTTGAATGAGTTCAGATCCTTCAATCATACTGCAGATTTGGAGAAAGTTTTGACTATTGTAAAATATCGATAAATATTGTAAAACTCACAAGACAGTTGGTTGAGAAATTTGCCTTGTGTTCCTTCCAGCACGTGCAACGCTAATCCGCAAGGAAGATGCGGGGCACGTACTCGATTTTCTACTCCTCGTGAAAAGGGCAGCTGTTTGTAAAGGTCTTTGTAGCAAGCAAGCTTGAGAAATCCTTGAAGTTTAAAAAACACAAGAGAAATCACAAGTTTAACAAGGTTTTATCGATAGCAAAGTCAGTATGTGGATGAAATTGTTAGCTTTTTAGATTGAGAATTCACTGTTGTTTTGGCGATTCGAATGAACTTTAAGTCAACAACATTTGCCTCTCAATGCATCTAAATATGGTGCCGTATACGTCAGTTGTGTTCTTCCTATGAAATATTGATATAGTTTATTGCGTGACAGAAAAGAACACTTAGCTACAAGACAAAAGGTCGACAATGAAAGACGTCAGAGAGATAATTTTTCTTCAGGATTTGCAATCACAACGCACGAGTTAAAATCATATCTAAACAGTAAACAACCATTTCAATGATGAAAGTGCTACTACTAACACTTTTGAAAAAATAAATGGCGACTACATAAAAAGCTACTTGGTATTTTCTCCTTGTTTACGGCAAACCTTTTTATTTTTTCTTATATTGCTATTTCTGAACAATTTTTGGTTTTTGAGGCGGCTAGTGTCTTAGTTAAAGCCTAGAGTCCTGATGCAATGAAAGTATTCAAAGCCTAAAGTCCCGATGAGACCACCTAAATTCTTAATGAATCGTGTAATAGGCTATGTTTTTATGCTCCAATCAGTGCTTATTCTATCTAGCGTCCAGAAAAGAAGAAATCATAGTTGAACCAAAATGGTCGTCCATGAAAATGGTTGGATGAAATGTGAGAACATTCTTTGGCAAAATTTCCTTTTCTCCTCTGAACTTCAATCTGTCAGTTCACGCATGTGCCATTCTTTCGTGGAATTATTAAATCTAGAGATCAAGACTCAGCAGTTGTCTCTGTTTAACGAAAGCATTATGGAAACAAAGAAACTTTTGATTAGAAGGGGGCGGATTCAGTGGAGTATCGCAGTTAAGAACGCATAAGCTAGGTAATCCCCGACCAAAATAAGGCCCAAAACGTGCTCTAATCTATCATGTTATAGGCCAAAGAAAGGCACTTTCTAGCAGCCCCTTTTAGACTCCATAGGGACCATTGACATGTTTTCCTTAAGGCCCAAGTTGTCTTTTATACTAGACAAGGGAGGGTGGTTAAAACTTGTTTAGGCCGGCAAGCAGAAAACGTACGAACATAATGTTCAACTCTTGCTAGCAAAATTAACGTAAAGCGATTTAAAATTTGAATAAATACCCTTGCTATCAAATACATTTATAAAAATTGGATTCGATTCATTTTTACTTGGTTCTTTGAATTTGTAACCAAATAAGTTGTAGGTCATCCACTAAACGATTAACTAAAGAATTTAATTATAATTAAAGCGTTATTTTCAATAAACAATTATCGACTAGGATCGTTTAAGCTGATTTGCCTTTTTTGATGACTTGAAAACTGGTTAAAATGAGATATGAGAAAACACATAAAATAAAAACATTTTTACCTTCAGAATACGAAAGTCATATAATTTGAAAGAAAATGCGAATGTTGTGATAAGGCCTCGTGAAAATTTGGTCTGGAAAGCCAAAACGTAGTTTTGTTGAAGAGGTGATACGTTTTAATACTGCTTTGTTTATATTAACACCTGTCATCCTAACATCAAATACCGGAAAACATTGCAGGTGCATCGATTATGCAATCCAACCTATAAATGTTTGAGTTTGTGCAAAATCAAAACATCTAACATAATGACTTTCATATATTCTATTGTCAATTCTTAAGAGTCCTCGAGCCACGTCCATAAAGTTAGATTGCATTAGACCCAGAAGTGTCATCGTCATCTTTATTATATATTTACAAGGATATTTAACAGTTTTGAAGCACAAAGCATTTGAGTTGACACCAAACCATCTTTTTCTATACACTAAGAAGCGTGCACACGGCAGCAAGCATTTTATGCGGACCGGTAAACAGTAATTTTCAGTGAGCTGACACAAAGTTTGCGAAAATTTCTCCATTAAGTGAAGGGACGCTTGTATAACTATAAACATAGGACAAAGTAAACTGAACCAACTACCGGGTCAACTCGGGTGCCGGGCTGAAGAATGACACCTAAGAAGGAGGCAAACCTCTTCTGAGTACAAAATAGAAGCTAATTAGGAAGGCGGCTACATGTTAATGAATTCAGATTATAATTTGTATATAACCTTGGCAACAACAAGCGACCGAAGCAGATGGCCCAATATGACGAAAATAGACCAACCCAAACATCTTAAATGTATTTAGAATCGATTATGATTTAAAACAGGTGCGAGGTTGGCTTAGTTTTCTAGCCTATTTGCGCAAGAATTTAGCAATCGATGGGGATGAGATATTCTTATTGAATTTTCGAAGTAATAAATTTGAAATTGTAATGTTGTAGCTATCGCTTGTTACACTCTTCGTCATGACGATAAATCAAAGCTTTTATTCATCACACCTTTCATCCGTTATGATGATAATTTTTCGTCACGAAATATTTGTAAAACTATTGTTAACAAACTCTTGCAATTTGAAGTGTTGTGTACAATCAACCTACTAGAATCTGGAGAGCACAGGCTAACCTACTGGAGAGAAAGCCTGATAGTCTTAACCTAAGTATCAGACAGAAGTATTGAGCCCAAAAATTGGAGGGACCATAGAGCGTTCTCTAAATTGCATAAAAATATAGAATCTCAGGAAACGAGTGACCCTCCAAAGACCCCCTCCGAGTGTGTCCTTTTCTCTCCTCAAATTCTATTTGATCTCGCTTCTCTTCTGTTCGACTCGACTCAAACGAGGTTTTGGTACCCAGTGTGAATAGCCCTACAAAGCGTTGCTTATTAAACCATTTTATAAAAATTGTTGCTCTTCTTAAGGTTTGTACACCCTACGACACAGAACGGTGGTAAAGTAGCTTCGTATGCGAGGAGCTTTATTTTCTCATGCTAAAAGCCACGTTTTCTTATGAAACGCTTAAAATTTTGTACAAAAACAAGCATAGAACACCTTACATAGCAGACAGAAATTATTTCCGTTTGCTGAAGTGTTCGAGGCCAAGTAGAATGTTTAAAATTATGAACGTGTCTCATCACTAAATGAAGATTTTTTTCTTATCGTATCATCAGGTAGATAAAAATTCGGCTAATGTTAATACATGTTTATTGCTTTATCTTCTCGGCAAGGAAAGTTCTAAAAGAATATTCAAACAGTACTATACGACTTGACCTGATTGTGCAAACAGGACATGCCCTAGGTTTTTTGGATTTTCGTAAGCAGAGCAGAGATAAAAGTGTTACATAACTTAGATATTGAGGCAAACAGGTTTAGTGCTTGATAACTACAATACAACCTGATCGGTAGATGTTTAGTTGATTCCTCTTTGGATTTGGAAGCAAAATGTTATATTTTCTTAGTCATTTCTTTTTCAACATCCAGTCACACAATAAAATGATATCCTGCATTCGAGCTGTAGGCTGTATTCCTATATTATGCATGGTGGCAAATTTAATATCGACTGAATCCGTTTTGAACATTTCTAAAGATACTTTTCAAGGATACAAGAGACTTTGCTTAATCATACTTTTGACTAGAAATACGAGGATGAAGTTCAGAGACAAAGCAAAACAGCGGCGAGAATCCAATGTTGTGATATGAATTTTCCAAAATAAATTAAATTAAACGAAAACTAATATTCCGCCCCGGCATACAGGACTTTATCAGAGTAAATGAACGAGTTAGAGCAGCCTATCCTGCGGTTCTTCCGTCTCACACATTTTGACTAGAATCCTTGAAAAAAATGGCTCCGCAATCCATCTTCACAATTAGCAGTTATGAGAACTTTGTAAGTGGAAGGCCCTTGAAAATCAGCAACGCTGAAGGGCAACCCTCTTTAAATATTTTATATCAAATCAAATCAAATCAAATCAATCGAATTGAAACAATCAAGGGTTATTGTTTCAGCCACATGCCTGTGAATAGGGCTCCGATGCAGGTTGGAAAGTAGAGGGGCCCAGAGAAAATATAACAATCATAACAAAAGATTTTAAAAAAAGCTCTATTGTTTTGCAAAAAAGTGAGGGGGCCATGGCCCCCCCCTCGGCCCCCCCTTCGTCGGAGGCCCTGGTGAACTGAGGCATAGCTGCAAAAATAATATCGGCTGAGCCGGCCTTTTTACTTTTCTTAAGATACTATTCAAGAACACAGGAGACATGGATATACCAAACATTTACAAGCCCACAGAGTTCCAGGCAGCGCGGGGCGTCGATAAAAGTGGTGGGTCTAAAAACAGTGGAGAGGGCTAAACCGAATAAAAAGTGGCTTGACTGGTGATTCATTGATAAAATTTTGCATTTTTGGCAAAAAGTTGGGGGCTATGGTACCCCCTAAGCCCCCTTTCTCCACGGTGCCTGAGCGCGTACTTTCATTCTGCAAACATAAGGATCACTGCGACATCCTCCACGATTCGTGCATTTTGCCATCGAATTCAATTGATAGCAGAATGCGAGGCAGTATTGCCAACATAAAAAGATTGTTAATTTTTTTAAGAATTCGCTTTATAAGAATATTGAGGCTGGAAACTGTTTTAATCAGATAATTAACTAAGAATAAACGCCAGACTTAAATTTTATTGATATTTCGAATTTTAATGTACCCAAGTTTCTTTTTCACACTTTCGATTTACATTCAAAGTCGAGTTAAGACTAGATATGTTCTGGTTTCGTTATGACAAAAAGAAAGCAGCAAAAATGATTTTTCTTTCTTGACACTTACCAAATTCAAACGCTGTCCCGGTTCAAAGACTGATCTAGGAATAATTTTCCTCTCAAAAACAGAATAAAAGAAGCATTTCATATTCTTTTTAAAAGAACAGAAATTGAAAATATCAAGTATTTTTAAGGCTCACTATAAAGTAAAGCATGCTTATAAATAAGTGTGAAATCGTGTTAGGTAAAAGCGGGAGTATAGCACTTTGGGATGTTAGCAGTTGGCACCTAGATAGAGGCAGTATCACCTAACATACGTGCTTGAAAATACCATAGGCGATGCTTTGCAAGTGATTTTAGCGCGACCTAGCAATTAACACCTTTCATGCTTGCGGTATTCAGTGTATTGTTCGTCTTATAACAGCTCTCACCAGACTTGTTTTGTACTCAAGGCTTGTGGCTCGCGCCCATTTTCATCAACACATATTGCTAATTTACACTACTCCTTTAGATGAGTACTTTTGTTTTTGCTGAGCTTCGATATTCTTTTAAAAAATACGATTCTGCTCCTAATGTCATTCGTGTTTCATTCTTAAGAAGATTCTTGACCAAGACAACTTTTCTGTTGAGTTTGTTAAAGTTAGAAACGATGCAGATTGAGAATCAAGAAAGAACGATAGAAACTGCATTCAGTATCTTTTCATTTCAAATACGAAAAAGATAAAAAGATAAGTAACAAGTGCTTGGCAGCCCCACTCCCTTATCTTTCCTTAATTTAAAGCAGCCTACAGCCACCACTGTGGATTGCGACCTTTGAGCAGGGGTGCAGGCAATGAGTTGATTGGTCCATCGGTATACAGATTGTGTTGGTGTAATTTTCTCAGATAGGTAGCACCTAGCTTGTTATAAACAGTTCCAGCGTCTTATTGTTGTTATTATTTTATCACCATTGTATCCAATACTTCATGTCCTTGTAGCTAAAATCTGTTGTCACTTTTCTTTTGAAAAACCAAATGAGCAGAATATGATGGGGACAAACTATCGATTGGGTATATTCATAACGAACTATCAATAAGTGAGACCAAAGCAACATATACTTTTTACTTGCTTCGTTGATTCAAGCTATAAAAGCTTAAGATTATTGGTTTGAAGAAACTTTTAAAACGTTTCTAGACTCAGCTCCAGTGATAGACCTAAAATTTAAACGTACTTGAGCAACTACCTGATATGACAGTGATATGGACAATCGTTCTTCGTTTTTATTACAAAAATTCTTCGTCGTATCTACTACGAAAATGTCTGCCAAAAAGTACCACAATACGCATTGATGTTAAGCAAAAGGATGCCAGAAGGCCAGCAATTAGCATAAGCAAGGCTACATTAACTATTACAGGGATGTCAAACTCAATAACAAAAAGGACCAATACGCAATGCCTGGTCCGAGTCAAGGCATAAAAAATTAAAAACCACTGAAAATACCAAACAAAGCATCTCTTAAGAACTTGAATATTGATTGCCAGTCTATATTTTTTGGATGAAAATAAATTCGAACAGCTTTTTAGTGAAAAATATTAGATCGCTTTGTTAGTAAGTACTGTTTGCACTTGAATAGCCTGTGTAAAAAAAGACCCGAGGCGAAATAAGGCGGGTCTTCGAGCTTGACATCCCTTACCTAAATTATTGTATTGCTTTGCACAAGCATGAATTGAAAATACATTGAAGCGAAATCATCAAATCAGGCTATCCTAAAAGCTTGAGATTAGCTGCAGCAAAATTTACTTCGTGTCACTGTTGATTTCAAAAACGGCCTTTGCAATTTCTCCCTTTCGTAGAGCGTCAAGAGCAGCTGGGTAATCTTGCAATGAGAATATTTTCGTGCATAGTTTTTGAAAATCCAGGTATCCAAGGGCTCCCATTTCTTTAACCATTTTAATGGCTTTGGGAAACGTATTTGGGTTGATATGAGAGCCGACTATCACCAGTTCTTTGTTATAGATTTCAAACGGGTCTATCTTTATCTCGGAGTTTTGTGGACAGCAGCCAAACAGCACCAACTTAGCACCTAAAAGAGCCAAAAATAAAGTGTCACAACTGTATCTCTCTTCTGTAAAGGATTACCTACCCTTACACGCGGTGGATTCATTGAGTCGTAATAAAAGTAGAAGGTATATCCAGGTACGTCTAGCCAAGATCTAAGTGATCCAGCTCCACTGGTGGACCTTCCACTGTGCCCTAGTATAGTGGTCGAGTCGAAATTTGAAAAAAGTTGAAAAACAGTTGAAAAACAGTTTAAGGAACCTTGCTTGTACTTGAAAAGTCCAGGAATTTGCGTTATTTTTATACTTTTCAATCCTTTTCCTGAATGCCCCTTTCTCCAAGAACAATATTGAAAGTTTAGAAAAATACCATATCAGTAATAGGGACAAATGTACTCCCTATTCTTCTTTGTTTCACCGTAAACAAACAGTCCAAAAGAGGAGGAGAATAGTTGAAATTGCTCTTGAAAACTCATGATAGGGTTCTTTGATTTTGAGAAAGAATTTTAGATTGTATCCAAGTTGTATCTATAGGATAGAATCTAGACTCGAGAATCTAGTGTAGGCCAAAACATATAGTGACGAAAATGCTGAATTTATTGGGCAAACGAGATAATCTTTTCACCAGTCGTTTTAGTATCTGTTTAAATTCAAAACAAAAATAATGCAGCAGAAAGAGCTTGTATTCCCTTATGGACTTTTCAAATGTGTGAAAACTAGCTCCCACTGATTGGTCAACGACAGTGAAAAATGTCCAATCATAAGCGTAATTCTTTCTCTGACGATACGTTCGTGCCGCACAGTTCTCTTCGAAATAACTTTTTGTTCACTTTTTTGTTAGTGTCCAACGTATTAGATCTTGAAGAGTGTTAAACAAAGTACTCCCAATAACGCTCCTCCGTTTTCACTTTCCCTGTTGTTTTGAAGCTTCGCAATACCAGAGTCTTTTTTAGGGAGAACAAATATGGTTTCAACATGTATTTGCTTGAAAGAGAAAAGCAATCCCCTTTTACATAACCAGATGAATGGCTAAACAGAGGAAGTTTGGAAATATTCTGCAAAAAGGGGAAATTTCACCAAACACCGCCAAAACAAGGACACCTTTTGCCTCCGTCTCTAAACACTCAGTGCTAAGCAAAATTGATTTCCGTCAACAAAGCTCAAATGCAATGGCAAACCTACCTCTGCGAGTGTAAAGGAATTCCTGTTCTATGGCCTTGGGTGACCCAGTACAGTCAACAATGATATCAAAGCCCCAGTCTTCGTTGCCGTCTCGTTTTGCTTCTTGATACTGGTTGAAAAGGTGATCAGGATGCATGACTTTTAGGCCTAGCCCCAAATTGCACGCCGCTGTTCGTCGCTTTTCTGATGTATCCATAACGACGAAATCGCGAAATCCTCGAAAGTGAAATATTGAGGAGAAGAGCAACCCGATGATACCTTAAATCAAATTTTTGCAATAACGTCACTCGCTATACTTAATAAAACGGTGAAAAACAGATAGTAATTTGAAGGATATGAGTATCAAAGGAAAAGAGGGAATGCTGAAAATGGGGAGACAGTAACAGGAGACAAAGGCCACAAAGGGGAGAGTATACGGCAGGGTTACACGACTAGATCCTTGAAAGAAATTTTTTTAAATCAAGGGAAAATTAAATACAGGAATTACATTCTATTTTAAATCGAAAATTATTATCATCATGATTCCGAAAAAAAATCACGGAGCTTTGATGGTTTCAATAACAAAACCTGCTAAAGAAAACTTGTTAAGTACGATATGGAAACTATATCATCGTAAGCGTCCCAGCAGCATCGCCGAGCTCTGCTGGGACACGTCCCCGTCGCTTACGACGATATGGAAACCAGGCTTTAGAATCTGGTCTTATATTATTCTCTTAAAATTAAGAGCCGAAGAACCATATTAGCATAAAATTAATGGTTTTGAAAAGACGCGTACTTCTCAATAACGCGGACTGTGAATTTTTTTCCCAATTTCCCAATCCTTTAGCTTTTGGCCTTTGAAGAGGGGAATTAAATTCGGTTGAAAAGGGGCCTATGTTGGGAGGTTCAGAGCAACAAAACATTATTCCAAACAAAGTACTCGTTACAACGGCAATTACAGCTTGCTTCTGCTAGAAACCATAGCACGAAAATGCAAGGAAATCAGTCAATGCCTTAGTGGCGCTGTTAAAGCGATTGTAGTTCAATTTTTTGGAAATTCGCTTATCAGTCCATTTCTCATTTAGAGGTTTACTGAAACCCCACCTACATCATTGCCAAAGGGGACCAATCCCCATTCACTGAGAGACTTGAGCATTTCATGGTCCATCAACACTACAAAAAGATATTCTGGAGCCATTTTCATTTTAAAAACCTCTATCATTAAGGCAGCCACAAGTCCTAACTTTCAAGAATCGGTACTTGATACTTTTGAGATATTATATTTCACATTATTTAATCCTAGCTAATAAAGGCAGCCCCTGCCACAATCAGTTAGGTACACATGAAAATTTGTAACTGCCTCGCTACTATGGAAAGCTAATCATTTCTCTGCTACCAACTGTTTCCGTTAGCATTTGATTTGCATATTCATTTCAAAAGCTACACGATTCTAGTTCACAGAATTTCAAAATATTGTGTCAATGCGGATTCAAGTATGTTGCACGAAAACCATGCTAACAAACAGAAAAAAACTCACCAGCTCCACAAACTAGGATACTTGAATCAGATCTTATGGGCTCCATATTTTCAAAGCCACGCACAATGCATGAGAATGGCTCGCAAAGAACTCCCATCGACATAGGGATTTCTTCTGGTAGTGGATGAACTAAAACTGCAGAAACCTATAAAGAAAACACAGCGCATTAAGCCTTAAAGATGGCAGCAAATCATTGAATCTTGTTACTGGACAGTGTAACTTGCTTATAATTCAATTCTTGGTTTTGACGGAGGAAAATCTTACATTTAGTCTAAGTACAGGGCAGAATAATTACTTCAGACATTAAAACATTTCATTTCAAGATTTTAACTACACAAGAAAATGATATATTGTGCAGAGTGTAGAGTTAGGGGGCAAAGAGAGCTAAGATTCCCTTGTTGATAGGAAAAGGTAGCACTTTTCTACCTCTAGCTTGTTTTCTGAAAAAATTACAAGAACCCCCTTGTTCTTATCATAGCACTCCTCCCCTGTTTGTGTTGGATTGTTTTCTCTTAAATTATGTGCTTACACATCTGCGCATTCAATATTACTCTTCTGTGCTGTTATTCAGGATATTCATATCATGGTTTGCATACCTAATCAAGATGCAATTTTCTGCCTTTCATAAATATTTCCTATTCAATTATCTATGATATGCTTCATTGGTATCGTTTGATTTGAACAAATGAGAACCATCTTCATTCCAACTTATGACTTGTTGTTAGAACCATTCTCCCCTATTACACACCTGCCCATTTCACTGAATTTCAGGAAAATTGCCCTATCCCATATTGAGATGACAAGGCCTCCTCTGGATTAAGACTGATTTTTTGCTTCCTTTTTCGCTTATCTGCAAAGAACTTGGAACTTTTTTATCCTTTTAACAAAAACCTTTTAACGGTCTCCAAATATATTGTATGCAGATAATTTTTTCCCTCAGGTGAATAACTGCAGTCCTATAAAATTTATTTTCATTAAGTGCATTACATTTTCATACCCTGGAAATTCATCAGAAAACAAATCAAACATTCAAACCTTGCAATATTTTGCCCAACCACCATTTTTCCAAATTCCAATGTATGAGCGTATCCCCCCAACTTGGCAAAAATGAGGATCACCCCTTGTGCAGTAGTTGCATACATCACAATTACTGCTTGGATTCACCACGACCCTATTACATAGAAGCATCAAAAATAAGAAACATTTCAATGCATCAAGTCAAAATGCATGCAACAAAACGATTCTTACAATTCATTTATTTCTAAATTCTAAATGTAGCATTACCATATTAATCAAAATCAATTTGAATCTTTTCCCCATTTGTAAGTACTTGCATCTATAATTCCAGACAAAAATGGTTGAGACTTTTAAAGGAAAGCTTATATTTTCACTTTCCTTGAAAAAATAACTCCCCCCCCCTCCCCCAATTCAATGTTGAACACATGATTTTGAAGAAGAAATGATAGAACTACAAATCTAACAATGCTTTGGGGGGAGAGGGGGGATTCAAATTTACAGGGGCAAGGTAAAGTAGAAAATTACAAAAATTGCATTTTGTCTCAGCATTTTTGTCCTGGATTGTAGATACTTCCAGTTTCATAAATACTTAAATTTAGCATTTGATATTATCAAAGTACTAAATTATAAAGTAATTGGTATAAATAAAATAGCTTCTAAACTGATCTAAAAGTTGATAATGTTTATTCTTGTTCTCATGCCATCCTTACTGTTGATCAATAAAGTTATCTATCCATTTGAAGGTAAAACAATTACTTGATGTACCTTGCTTAGAGCATAAAATTCTTCAAGTATAAATCAGTTTTGAGAAAGATGACAGGAAAATACAATTTTATTTACAAAGTTTTATAACTTTCATTTGGAAATAAAAGGGTTTTTTTCACCTGTCACCAGGCTTGACATGATTTACTTCAGTCCCAATGTCTTCTGCAACACCACAAAATTCATGTCCCAGAACAAAAGCAGATTTTGATGCAGGAAATTCTCCACTTATTATATGCAAATCAGTACCACAGACACCAGCATAGCTTACCTAAAACAAATTATCATACAAAGATATTTGTAGCCACAAATAAAAGATTTTAATGGCAACGTCAAAGCCCACAAACCAAGGTAGGGAAAAAACTTCTCAGCTTTGCCTCGTATGTGCAACAGTTGAGTAGCAATATATACATTGATATATAGGATAGGATCTGAGATATTGATAAAAGCAAAGAGAAGCCCTTTGTTCTTGTAAGGGACTTTTGCATTATAAAGGTCTGCATTGTTTTATGAGACACATGTCTAAGACCCTGTCAACATAATATGTTATTCAAACATATATGATGTATCATCTAGGCCTTCTGTTGAAATAGAAAGGTTGGAGGACAAGTTCCTTTGAGCTAACTTTGTCAAAGCTTCTTGCCAGAGGTCAACTTTGTCAGATAACATTATTTGATATGATATGCCAAGCCAATGGGGCAGTGTGATTCTGTCAAAGTTTCATGCCAAAGGTCAAAGGACAAAGTATTTGAATTGCTGTAATATTATGAGCTTGGAATTAAATATATGCCAGGAAGATTACGCTATTTCTTGCATAGAGCAGGACAGTTCAAAGTTGCTACTCTCAGTTTCACAATTAATGCAATCATCAGGCTGCAAGCGTGAGAATGATCCTGTTCTTTACACCAATTTAAGCTTGCTGCCTATATGGCATGGAGCACTTCTTGACAGACAGGTAAACAGTAGTTTTCATGCCAAGAAGATTACTCATATCTTCAGAGACCTTCTATTTATTTCAGGTATTGTGAATTGCAGACTAAACTGCCCTTTGTTTTATGTGTCCTAAGGTCAAAGGACAAAATTATTCTAATTGCTCCAATATCAAGCCAAGCGTTTGAAATAAAATTTATGCAAAAAGAAGATTAGTCATATCTTCAGAGACCTTCTATTTATTTTAGGTATTGTGAATCGCAGACTGAGCTGCCCTTTATTTTAAGTGTCCTAAGGTCAAAGGACAAAATTATTCTGATTGCTGCAATATCAAGCCAAGCGTTTGAAATAAAATTTATGCAAAAAGAAGATAACTCATATCTTCAGAGACCTTCTATTTATTTCAGGTATTGTGAATCGCAGACTGAGCTGCCCTTTATTTTAAGTGTCCTAAGGTCAAAGGACAAAATTATTCTGATTGCTGCAATATCAAGCCAAGAGTTCAAAATAAAATTTATGCAAAAAAAATATTATTCATATCTTCAGAGACCTGTTTATTTCAGGTATTGTGAACTGCAGATTACACTGCCCTCTATTTTAAGAAATTAGTTTCAGGCCACCATTCTGTAAACGGGGCTCTATAAAAATAAGATGCTCTCAGACCTTAACCAAGACTTCTTTTGCACCAAGCTGTTTTGCAAGTGGTCTAGTTATGACAGACAACTGCCCCTCAAACAACTGTACTGCTTCGTTCATTTTCAGTAGTATTTTCACCCAAGCTGTACGAGGAGCACCTCGAATAAAAAGACGTGCAGTTTCGAACAACAGGAAGCTTCGTTCCACTCCTACCAGGCCTCAATAGCCTCTTCCCATTGTTATGTAAATCGCTGAGCTCATTATCATATGCCAGGTCAACAAATACTGAATTCCACAAGTATCATGCCTCGACACCATCCTTTTTATCTAAGGAACTTTTTTTAATCTCCTCCTTTTGACTGACTGCGGTCGCAAAAGAAACATTCGGAGAACAACTATTAGGCAGGGCTATGGCTGCGAAAATCTCATTTCTCACCTAACCGAGATAATTTTGATAGTTTTATATACTTTCGAGTATGGAGATTCAGGACCAAACAAATTTCCCCTCAGTATCACGTGACTGATGACGCCGTCGATGACAGTAAAAACAGTCATAAATCCGCTCTTGTCAAGGCTTGCACTTGTCGAAGGTGGTCTTGCTTTGGACAACAGAGCCCGTTTATCCGAGAACTGGGATGCGAAAAGGGAGGTAAATCGAGGGGTTTTAGTTAGGCTATCTTAGTTCTCTTATTTTATCTTGATGCAGGTGATACCAGCCCTAGAAAGCTGAATGCCTGTCTTTGCAGCAAGTTAAATTTGCATTTAATGTACCACATAGAAAAGTCGAAAAAACACGCCATAATAACGACCGTGATGTTAGCAGAAAGACGAGACGGAAAGGCAAATTGACTGTTCTCTGAATTGGAAGGAAAATCCAAGGTTTTACTGCGACGTGCTACGATCTTTCTACCTAAAGGTAAAAAACAGATTAGTCAAAGACAAATCAAATCTGTTCGAGCCTTTCAAGGTTCCGAAGAAATAAACCAGCTGCAATAAAGCGAAAACATGCTTCCAAATAAATCTAGACAGACGAGTAAAGGAAAAGTAAACTAATTTGCTAAATTGATAGCAATAATTTTAGAAACACTGCTCGCTATTCTAAACAATCGAGTGCGTCTTTATGACAGATACGTTTTCTGATGTTGTTGTTGTTTAGGTATTGCTGTTCGGAGTGGCTTTTGACGTTCAGGTTGTCCTGGCATTGTTAAGTGTTGCTTGTTGTTGTATTGCACATTGATTTGATTAGTTTGCGCTTGTTTCTTCAGGGTAGGCCTTGGCTTTTCAATGTCTGCGTCCTCACCAAATAAGATCAACAGAGAACACGTAGAAAAAGGCCAAACCCTCTTTTGAGAAACAGGCACCGACTTAATTTTTAGCGCTTTTTTATCAATGCTAACTAACTATAATAATTTCGACTTTCATCTGACCATGAGCAGAGCAACTGAATGAATCTGGAACTGCTATTGCCTTTAAAAGATATTATCAGTTTGAAAAAACGTTGTTGCTGTTTCGTCTGTAGTTGTTTGCCTCAAAATTGTTTTTGCATCGAAGGCCCTACGCTGTAGTTGCTTAGAAGACACCACAAAAGTAAACAAGCAGCTAAAATATGCAACATAAGAAACGGAGCAAACATACAGCATTTAAAGAAATTCGGAAATAACTTTAGCAAGTACTTAATGAGAGATTGATTTCCTTCCTTTTCTCGATCGAAACAAAACGGCTTTGCCTCGATTGCAACTTGAATTTTGGCGGGAAATATTTGACAGTACGTTGCACTGCTAGGATATAAACAAATTTTTTGCGGTACATAATTTGAAAATGGCTTTGAAAAAAGCAAACATTTCACAACATATTGGCTCAAAGCTTTTTCGTCTGACACTCCTCAGAGCATAAAACGTCAGAATAAGGGTCCGAAAAAACACGATAAAAAATATATACCCAGTTGTGGATCGAAATAGGCAATCAGAAAAACGCAAGCACAAGACCGGTATAGTTGACCAATTAGTGCTGCGTGCCAATAGAAAATTAATTCAAGATCAAGTGTATCATTCAATTCAGGGTAAACAAACAACGTAATCGCTCTTGAAAGAAATAATAGTATTTGCCTCAACAGCCCGTTAGTTTTAGATCGCCCATCCTATCTTTGCACAAAAGTGCCCACAAGCCTCCAGTTGAACACGAGAAAGACAAATGGCGGGAAAACTATTGAAAAGAGCTTGGTTAAAGCAGGAAGGATGCAGGTTGAAAATCGAGAAAGAACGATCGAAACTGCGTTAAGTATCTTTTCATATCAAATATCACAACGATAAACGTTAAGCGACAAGTGATTAGTAAGCGCAACAGCCCCAACCCCCTTATCATCCCTTAATTTAAAGCAGACTACATCCATTATAACGATTTACGACTTTTGGGCGGTTTATAAAGGTAATGATTAGTCGTTCAAGATTTTGTTTTTTATCTAAGAAGTAAAGTATATCAATAGTTTTTGTCCTAGCAATTTGTCACTTCACTATTCTCTCGAAAAACCGAATGAGCAGAGTATGATCTGGAAGGAACATAGAATGGGGTCTCATAACCTACTGAACGGGTATCAAACCTTTTATAAAAAAGATATTGAAAACGAGTTTCAGCTTCCTCGCACAACTGAGCGCAATCCTTTTGGGCATAACATTAGTCTTTCAGACCACACAAGGCTCCAAAGAATAAACTTACGGTCTTCCATTGGTTATGCGTTGAATGAAACGATGCCAATCCGATGCATTTTTAAACATAATTGGGCACTTTTTTGGACCAAACTTTTTCCCAACCGAGAAACTAGCATTTTTCCCGAAATCGTACAGGTCGAAATGACATCCCTTGGAAAGCCACTGTTTAGAAGACTTTCATTGATTTTGTTAAGCTCAGGGCCTAATTTAGAATTGGTGCTTATTATAAGTGCCATGTGGGCTAAGGTTTTATCAGACAGAATAAAGGAATACCAACGGATATGTTACCTAGAAAAAGTTGGTTTTCTTGTAAACACTAGTGAGAAATCCAGCTCTTTCCTTTTGTACACAAGCATCAAGAAAACTTTAGATGTTTTTTTCCTCCTTTCAATGGTGAATCTGAGAGCTGGATGCATCGAGCTGAGTTTTTCACAAAAACAGAGACATTCCTATCTTGAGCTGAAAATTACAAAAGTGTTGACAAAATCGTCTTCTCTGCCTCATTCAATCAAGTTTTCAAAGCTTAAGGCTTCTCCAGACTCTGCTCTGGGATGGTCAAGAGTTACTTTCTCCGTCTTTATCAACCCCCTTTTTATGACAATGTTGCAGATATTGTGTCATTTGTGTGCCAACTGAGTGCCTCCCAAATTTCCTTTGTACCAGCTTCAAAATGTCTACCCAAACGTGCCACAATACGCATTGATGCTAGGTAAACGTATGCCACCTAGTCAGAAACTAGCGTAAGCAATGCTGTTTAACCTTCATAAAGGGAATCGAGCCAAATCACAGAAGAGGCCAAATGTAAAGCTTGGTCCAACAAACGGGCAGAACAGAACGAAAATTCTTTCAAAAAGACCTAAACCAACTATGCTTTATAAATTGAACTTGGGTTGCCAGATAGTTGATAATATTTTAAATAAAAATAGATTCAAACAGCTATGGATTACGTAAAGGAGAAATATAAGATAAAATTGCTTTGTAAAAAAATGGTGCTTACACTTGAATAGCCTGTGTTCAAGACCCAAGATGAAATGCAGTTTGGCCTGCGGGTCTTCCAGTTTGACATCCCTTACCTAAATTACTTTATTGCTCTGCAATTGCATGAATTATTGTATGAATTGAAAATACTTTGAAGCGAAATAATCAAACAGGCTCTCGCAAAAGCTTGAAATTAGCTGAAGCAACTTCTATTTTGTCTCACTGTTGATTTCAAAAACGGCCTTTGCAATTTCCCCCTTTCGTAGAGCGTCAAGAGCAGCTGGGTAATCTTGCAATGAGAATTTTTTTGTGCATATTTTTTGAAAATCCAGGTATCCAAGGGCTCCCATTTCTTTAACCATTTTAATGGCTTTGGGAAACGTATTCGGGTTGATATGAGAGCCAATAATCACCAATTCTTTGTTATAGATTTCAAAAGGGTCTATCTTTATCTCGGATTTCTCTGGACAGCAGCCAAACAGCACCAACTTAGCACCTAATGTAAAGAAACAGATGAAAGATTACTACTGTATCTTTAATTTGGTTTACATCCATGAAACAGTCTTGATTTACGACCAGTTGTAATCGATGGCTATCAAGAACACCTGAAACTATTGGTTCAGTAGGGGGGGGCAGGGGGCTTAAAATATACCTAAAGTAATAGATTTGGCGCAAAATTACCCTGCCTTGCTGGAATTGTCAATTTGTAGGACATTTCATCTTAAGGCAACCCCTTCCCTAAAAATTGCCTTCCGCTGCTTCCTTGGACATTGATCACGGTGAAATTTAGAAAACGGTTGTACACAAAAACTCTGCTTTGCTAAGACATAATAGATATTTTTCTCACAAGAGAAAGGGGCAAATTTTCACAAAAAGGATTTGCTCAACATCCAATCATCAGCAGGTTGAAAGTGCATTGCAAATTAGAAGGCATTGACATGGGGCTCATGTCCCATCTGAAGACTACTACTGCACAAACACAATATTTTACTTCTCCAGTACAACGTAGTTATATTCGTAAAGAAATAACAATCAAGCTTATAACAGCAACGCGATCAAGAACTGTAATTAACGATTGCATTGAGGCCTTCGTGTTAGAGAAAAAGGTTGCTAAAAGGCATATCCTGCAAGGTTTGATGTTTTAGTGTATGAGTTTACATACGAGAATCTCGGTAACATATGAACAACAAAAATTGTTACATGCAATAAAACGACCAAGTTCATGAAAGGGTCGTTTGAAAACACACCCATCGCTTCAAGAACTATTGGAGTAAAACTTGCTCATTAACAGTATCACAAGACAGCCATTCTTTACGAACAGCTGACACCCTAATCGGGACGTCTTACACCTTCAGCATGTAACATAGATACAATGGCAAAACCTACCTCTGCGAGTGTAAAGGAATTCCTGTTCTATGGCCTTGGGTGACCCAGTACAGTCAACAATAACATCAAATCCCCAGTCATCGTTGCCGTCTCGTTTCGCTTCTTGGTACTGGTTGAACAGATGATCTGGATGCACGACTTTTAGGCCTAGACCCAAATTGCAAGCCACAGCCCGTCGCTTTTCTGATAGCTCCATAACGACGAAGTCACGAAATCCTCGAAAATGAAATATCGAAGCCCAAAGCAACCCGATGATACCTTTAATCAAATTTACAAGAAAAATTATACTTGTTGAGATTCACAAAAGAATTCTAGATAGATAGGAATTAGAGGAGAGGCAATAGGAAGGGGGGGAAGGAGAAAAAAGAAATAGGGGAAGAAGGGATTTTACTTTTTTCTACAAGAAGCCTAGGTAATCTTGCTTTTAATAGGAAACTTAATATGAATCTAAGTTAAATCTAAGTACTACTGAATTAGTAGATAATTGAATCTTTTTGTTATTAGTTTTGTTACTGAAATAAATTTCACCGTCTTAAGATCATGCACTTTTTAATTAGCTAGATACTATTGCTTGAATTAATAATGAATTGAATTGAAAACGAAGAGCGAATGCGGACAGGTTTGTTTTTATACGAAACTTAGATCAGCGCATAGTACCAGCATTTTCTTTCTCTGGCATCCTAATTTTTGGCGACTTAGCACTAAATGTTTCTTAGTTGGTTTCTTATTTTCAGGATCTAAATAACAATGTGTCAAGTGTGAATTCCCAAGATGTTAAAACATATGCTCCACATTATACTCTAAATCAACAGATGCGTTAGGTGATTACCGGGAAAGCCTACAGGCAACGGACTCTTTTTTAAAAAATGGTATGGTTCTCAATTATTCTTGAGTCTAGTACTAAAGTTTCTTAAATTTTTGGTCATCCTAGAATTAGTTTCTTGAAAACAATTTTCTTGTAAAAAACGTGCAGATCTGTCGCCCTGCTATTTATAAAAAGATGTCATTTGATCATTTTGCTTGTGCGGCGAAAATTTCCTGACGATAAACAGCTTAAAAATATGATTACACTAATTGAGTATTTTTTAAATTACAAATTTTGCGTTTGAAAGTGTTGGGATGAATGTTAACGCTAACTGTGTAGAAATTAACTCCAATGGCCTGAAACACGGAAAGAAAGACATTTGTGGACAAAGGGAAGTTGAAACACAGCCACAACAAAATATAATTCAGAAGTGTTCAATGAATTCATCAGCCGAAACGCAAATTTCTTTCGAACAGCGAAATAAATATTTTAATAACTTGCAGAAGCACACTGTAAATATATAAAAAAGACCATACATGAATATATGAATAAATTGCATTCTGTTAATAAAGAGGCATATGTTTGCAAATTCACAACAATAAATATTTTTCCCAGCAAAAAACATTAAAGTGGTGACCAATTTAACTAGAAGCCATTGCATAAAAGACGCAGGAAAGCCATCAAGCTGTAGTGGGATTGCAACAGCGACCGTGATTTTGGCTATGTGATCTTTTGTTTTAGTTCAATACTTTAGTTAATGGTGTAAAGAGCCAAACTCGTTTTAAAAGGGCTACCCCTCCCCTACCTACATACTTGAAGAAGGAGAGACATGTTCCACCCGCACTTTTTACGTTCCATGGAAACTATGAAAATATATTCTTCAGTCTTTGTGAAAACCAATCATATTGCAGTTCACAAAACCATATTTGCACATCACTAATTCCTTATTTAAAAAAAGCAGTTACTACCAAAAAAGCTCTAGGGGATGGTAAAAATGCTCGAATTACAAGTTTTTTTCATTTACAAAAATTCGAATTATAGAGGTTTATTTTCAAGAGACATGAAAATTTTGCTTCGAATTAGTAGAAGAATTACACGATTTCAATTTATCATATATATTTGGCACAACACAAAGTTACATTGTATACGGCCAATTTAGAAAAAGTTTAGAACACTTTTCTACCTCGCTGTGGGTGTAGTAAAAGGCTAATCATTTCTTTGGTGTCGGTCATATCAGTTAAAATTACATAAATTCTTAGGGTTCTAGCAAACATAATGACAATTTAAGAATGTTGAATTTAAACCATACTAGAAAAATTGTCAAAACGAAACTCACCAGCTCCAACAACTAAAATACTTGAATCAGATCTTAATGGTTGCATATTTTCCCATCCACGTATAAGGCAAGAGAACGGCTCACAAAACACACCAAAAGACATCGGAATTTCCTCTGGTAGTGGATGAACTAAAATTGCAGAAACCTAAAAAGAAAACATTGAGCCTTAAAGATGCTAGAAAAAAACACTTTCATCTTCTTACTGGACAGTATAACTTGCTTATGGTTCAATTCTTTGGTTTGGACGGAGAAAATACTTACAATTCATCTAAGTAATAGGCGATCTCGTTGGATGATTCGGGCTTTCGACTGATAATTGACAAACATTTAACGTGTCGTTATCCAGTAAATAATCTATTATTTATTGCTAGTAAAAGCTTTCATAAATTACTAGTTATTTTCTTTTCAATTGTACAGCACGTAAGCTAGTATATTTAAATCATCCAGGGTCACAAAGAGCGGGGAAAGGGGTGATCAAATTCCCTAGAGCCTCAAGGTGTATGCAACCTCATAAAGTAAAGAAGTCGATTTAAAAAATTTGAATTAATCAAACGTAATAGAATTATGACTAGAAAATACTAAACTATTCTAAACGTAAGATAATGACTGTAAGAAATCATTCTGAAATGAATTTTAACCTTATCTAAAGGGCATCTTTGCCAAATTTTCTGCTCGCTTCGCTCGCAGGGGATCTGCATTTTCCCATATTACCCCAGGAGCCTCGATAACCTATTTGGGCCCTTGAACATACCTGATATAATATTTGCCAGTACTAAATCATCAAACAAACAATATATGACAAAAATAAAAACTGCTTGCAAATTGTATATCTAATTTCAATTCAGTAAAGATTAACCAAATTTTCCATCAGATTCTTTCAAACAAAAGTTATTTTCAAACGTATTTCCCACTGAAAAAAACAAGATAAAATGCAGAAAATGAGCGTTACATTACAACTATTTTGTTATTATGAATGACTTGTCAATAGTATAATCGGTCGACCTCTTGTATCATCAATTGCCTTAGCTGAGATATCGATTTGGATATAAAAAATCATTAACGAATTGTACTTCTAGCTACTTAATTAAAGGGTGTGGTCGGCAAAGATTTCTGAAAGGTCCCATTCGAAAATCACCCATTCTCATCAATATGTGCAGTGATAAATTTTCCTTAAATTTAGACATGCTCCAAGATGTTAGCCTGTCTCCCCTCCCCCCCCCCCCGAAATGAAAGCCTGAATTTCTGCCACTGATTTGATGAAACCCATAGAGAGAAGAAGCCAGCAAATATATTCAATTATAAAAGCTAAATCTCAACTTTGGTGTAGATAAAGACATTTACACCTATTAATCAAGACAGATTGATTGGCTTCTTAGGATAAAGGCCTGTTCAAGGACAGGGGCTTTAATTAAAAAAAATCAGGGTGGGGGGCTTTGTTATGATGGGCCTATACATCTTATCTTATTCCAAATTACTAAATTAAGAGAAGAGAACTTATGTTTGTGTTCATTGCTTTTAACAAGTTAGAGAAAAATACAATCAAAATTTTTGTAACCTAGAGATCAAAATTTGCATAAACTTAAGGTAAGATATTCTGTCTAACCATATTGATTAGCTCCAAAGACCTATTAGAATTGTTTGAAAAAACTTACAATAAGGACAGGCAACAAAAATCCTCTTTAATGCACAATACCTTAAAGGCAATCTGTCTCGTTGTGGATTGGTTAACTAGAACAATAGCTCGAACAATAGCCTAAACACAATTCCAGCACTCTGCCATATTTTTTACAATGCGATAAATTAAAGGCAGACTGGAAACAATAAAAAATCCCTTTGTTCTGATAATCAATCAACGTCGTGACAGATTGCCTTTAATATGTTGCATAGTGAGGTCATCAAGAAATCAACTCATATAAACCTTGCAATATGTTGCCCAGCCACCATTTTTCCAAATGCCCACAGTTGATCTTATTCCCCCAATTTTACAGAAATGAGGATCGCCTCTTGTGCAGTACCTGCATACATCACAGTTACTGTTGGGATTCACCACTACCCTATTAAAAAGAAGCATCACATTTTAGTAAATCTTGATGCATCTAATCGAAACACATATAACCAAAATAGGACACATAGCTATACTTAAGACATATATGAATTAGCAACATTGCTATACAGCCTATATTATGCAAATTGAGCAGTGTTATTTCCTATTCAAGTTAACACAATTTGGCCTTTTACATTATAAAAAATGGGTTTGAAAAGAGCTTGTAAAAGATTTGTTGGTTTTAGTTGAAGTTTCCTGTAAGTTGATATTTTTAATGTCCACTTTAGCAAAAATTTGTGGAGTTGTGAAACAAATTTGTAAAGACAAAATTATTATTCCTTTCTAATTTTTCCTGGAAACTGAACATGAAATTTATTTCTACCTTTCTCCAGGCTTGATGTGTTTTACTTCAGTCCCAACGTCTTCTGCAACACCACAAAATTCATGTCCCAACACAACAGCAGATTTTGATACAGGAAATTCTCCACTTAATATATGTAAATCCGTACCACAGACACCAGCATAGCTTACCTAAAATAAAATACTTGATAAACACATGTTTACATTGACACAAAACAGATTTGAAATGGTAAAATGTGACGCAAATTTCAGAACCTCCCAATGTAGGGGCAGGAAATAAAAGCTTTTTATGAACAGGTGTGGGGATGGCTCAGTGGTTGAGGGCCCATACTACAGACCCCAGGGCCCCAGTTTGCAGAGCATGGCGATGACGCACCCAGGATGTAGAGATGGTATTGTAGAAGAAGCACCTAAAACTGTTTCCATTCCATTCAAAGGAAAAATTATAGCTGGCAGACCTGACATTTTCAGGTAATTTGTGCACTCATATATGAGGTGCACGGCTGTTGGCATACCAAAGATCTTGTCAAAAATGGTCATTCTCTGCAAACTGGCAAGTGTCTGGGTTAAAGAGCGAGGAAATCACAAGCTCTCTGGAATGCAATGTGTTGCAATGCAACGAGAGGAAGGACCAGGACACTGCTTGATAGGCATTACCTTGGGGTGCTATATAGAAACAAATACTTTTCAAACCCCTAAGTAAGTAATTAATTCTTCAAATACTTTTCGAGCTATTTTCCCATATTGAAACAGCTGAGAAGCCACAGGAATATTCTCAAATAACCATCTACCTGTTCAATTGGTTTATCAAAAGACCATAAGATTATGAGACAAATGCTGACGAAGAATTTGTTCTAGTAAACAAAATAATTTAAACTCATATAATCAGATTGATGAGAAAGATGAGAAATATTGGTTGATGATTGATGAGAAAGACGTTCACCATAAAGATTAAAGATTGAACGGACCATGGCATACTAGCCGTTTGCTAATAAAAATGATCAAAAAATGAAGTTTATTTGATATATTTATCAATCTGAGATGATATTTTGCACTTTGCTCCCTGTTTATGTTTCGATGAACGACGTCAGGGGGGGGGCCTAATCCTATCATCGCCAATCGTTTAAAGCAGGTTCTACGAAAAATACGATGCTCAGACCTTAATCAAGACTTCTTTCGCACCAAGCTGTTTTGCAAGTGGTCTAGTTATGACAGATAACTGCCCCTCAAACAACTGTACTGCTTCGTTCATTTTCAGTGATATTTCCACGTATGCTGCTAGACAGGAACTAACATAACAAGCAGTTTTGCAATCTCGTTTTCACAGTGAGACTCTGCTGACTTTTCGTATTACCAATCTTTTTAGACTTCTGCCAAGGCATATAATTCACTTCAGATTTGGGAAAAAATTAGATATTTGAATTTCATAATGAATTAAGAAATCCTAAGCAAACCCGTTTCCTAATAGTTCTTGTACCATTGAGCTTTCAATCATGATTGATAAATGGTCGATGATTAGTGATCTTTATTTAAAATAAATGCACAAAGTGCAAACTTTAAATTTTGCAAAATTCAACATTACACAACTCTTTTAAAAAATCAATACTATACTACTGCACAACGTATGCAATTTTCTTTATATCTGTTCTGTTCATAATGAGTGTCTGAATCTAATATGTAACTAGGTCTTCGTGTGTCTGAATAAACCTCCCAACCTTTTTCTCATTTGCGTCGATTTGCTGATCTATCCCTTTCTTACACATTCTTTCATGAAAATTTCCCTCATACTTGATCCCCAAAACGTGTATGAATCACCATAAACTCTTCCAGTGCTCACGCATCCTTCAACTCATCTTCCTTCTCCGAGCTTGCTAATGCTTTACCCTCTGCTTGCTTCCCAAATTCTTATTTCCTGTCTTATTTTAAAACTAAAACCAACAAACTTGATACTGATCTCTTTAATCTCCCCATTTCTATGAATTTCCCTTTCTTTCCTTTTTCAAATTTTGATATATAGACCCTTCCTTCATATTTCCCTTTTCTTAGTAAACTAGAATACGAAGAAAATCATTCCGTATTTGCTTATATTTTGCGATAGATTCAACTCTATTTACTAAACATGATAGTTCACGACCTGTCGCAAAATCCATCAAAATACCTTGTCACATTTTGGTATATCAAAGCCTGAAGTGAATCCAATCTGATAACAAATGCAATGAAATTGCTTTAATGTTACAGAAGAAAGACAAACCTGTTGGATTGGGCTTTCTGCTGTGACAAAATCAGAGTTGGATTCAGGAGAAAAATTAATCCCTTTCAGCTGTGAATATTACATCCACCCCATGTCCTTTTGCAACCAGACTTCCAGTCAGTAATTTTGAGCGATATATTGAGTAAGCTTTTTTCTTTAGAGGGACGAATAACTTGCTGGGAAAACGCAACAAGAACTAAACACATGAATTTTTCGTCTAATATCATTCTAAACTTGTGCCATGAAAATCACCAAATTATATATTTGGCCTACTTTTCCATGCACTCATCAACTATTTACCCTTCATTTCAAACAAAAATCAAGAATAAAAGCAAAAGAAAATCACAAAATTGAATCATTTTATCGATCAAATAACTACTTAAGAATTATACATTGCTTCTTTGAGCAAAGGAGAGTGAAGTCCGAAGAATAATAAAGATTTTATCCATTTGTTATCCAGTATCTATGAAGATTTCTTTTGAGATAAGTTGATCTTGTCACCAAGACTTAGAGCCATTCCCTGAGAAATAAAATGAAACCAAAGTTTTTCAAGTGTTCTCAACAAATCAAATTTAGAGCTACAGATATAAGTAAACAATCAGATATAAAATTATTTTTTATCGTGATTTATCCACCGTTAGTTTTTCATAAAACGAAAAAATCTTGTACCAAGAGTCTAGAAATCAGAAAAACGAACAATGTGTACAAAAACTACACAGTGTTAAAAAAATGTCAGGTAATTATAATAATGAAACTGTTTCAAAAACTTCGGCTAATAGAAATTCTGTCTAGTCGACTTAAAACAAGGAACAGATTTTGAAAGCAACAACTACAGTTGAATCCCGCTATTACGAATTCTGCAAGGACCAAGAAAATAGTTCGTAACAGCTGGAGTTCGTAATACCTAGGGTTCTTTGTATAGGGATAATTCTAAAGAATTAAAGACTTTTAGTTCGAAATAGAGGGAAGTTCGTAATGAGCGGGTTGCGTAACAGCAGAATTTTGCTGGTTGCTTTCTAACTAGAGAAGTACTCTGGTCGGATATCAAACCTAATAATATTAGCCAACATCACTCTCAAAGTAGAAAGTGACAAGTTTGCTGTCCAATGCTGAAGCAACTTATTCGTAAAAACGGCGCAGAGAACTAGATGTCTCTCACTGATTTGTGCAGACGAGCCCGGAACAAAACAGTAAAGCAGCAAAACAAACCTGGCTCTTAGCTCGAATCCGAACGTGCCCGGTAACCTGTCCTTCGGGCCCGGAACCTAGTGGCTTCTCGATGCTCAGGTTAGCCAACGCATCTTCGCCAAAAATGCTTCGTGCATAAAAATTGGCTGCCATAAAGCCGCAGTCACCTGACAAAGCCTAAATGAACAAAAACAATTTTATAAAATAGACTTAATAAATAAAATGAGCTTCTAAACCAGGAAACTGGAAACTTTCCAATACAGACACGGTATTATATTCTAACAAAGACAATTCCAAAATAATATCATTAAAAACGACTTTTTCTGCTTCATTTTCCGTTACCTCCTCTCATTAAAAGTGTCATGTCATGTCTGGGTAATAAGGCCTTTCTTCTGCAGAAAACCCTATAATTCAACTTGCCACATAAGGTTCGCCCTATGGGCATCAAAATGAGGGCTTGGATGCAGAGATGTGGCTTGCAATTGTTAACAATGGCCTTCCTTACCCTTTGGTACTGCCCTGTCATTAGGTGAGAGAAATGAGAAAAGTTTCGACGGTACTTAGTATGGTTATACAAACTGGTCTCACTCTACATAGATGTTTTCATATGTCTACTTGGTGTATGATACATACCTTTTCTGGAGTGAGGCACTTCATGTTGGTAGAAGACACTAAATGATCAAGGTACTCTCTCAAACCCGATATGTTTGTGTTGACAGATATCTACGAGATAAGAAGTCTGTATCAGTCTAAAGTCCTGCTTAAGCGCAGTTAACAATTCAAAGATAGATGATATCAGATTACGGGAAAACCCTTTAAAAGAAATTATTTACGTTTGCGCTGGACATTTCAACCGATTTGGATGGGTTCTCAACAACGCCGAAGAACGACCGAAAATCTTAAAAGCACAAAAGGGTGTTTGAATGCCGAAGAGAAAGTGAATTCTCTCTCTTTGAATTTGAATTACAATAAAAATATCCTTTCCATGAAACTCTAAAGGGTAAATTTTCATACAGAAAATTATGAAATAACAGCTGAACCTTTATAACTCAGTAGGAAGTAGATTGTTTGCTGAGCATTCAGCTATCAAACAGAACGAAGGCGGTTCTTCGTCAAAGACGGACTTAGTAAGACAACCATATTTTTTATCTGGTTCATGCAGTTTAATATGCTGTTCGAATGATTCGAATGGTTGGGTGAACCCTTTTCTTAAAATGCTTGATTTCAGGCAAATTTTATACATCATAAAAATAAAAGTTAGTGTACCCAAGATGGCACTCAAAGGTCCCAATATATCACCCCAATGTTGGGTGAAACATTGTGTTTTAACATTGGACGAAACACAGTTTTGCTTAAAATGAGATTAACTTTGTGTTTGCTGCATGTAGTGTTTATGGCATTACCTTATTCTCCCATTCGAATTCTGCCCACATGCTCCTGAATTCGTTATCTGTGCAAGTAGCAGGTACGATGTAGTCCATAATATCAATATGAATGTCATTAAGTACGACACAGTTGCGGTCACCAGATCCCCCAGAAACGTCATATACTAGAAAATATAAACATTACACAACAATAAGAAAAGTTGAAAATCTCGGTAGAAACTTGTCTGTTGTTTACAAAGAAACTCACTCGGGGGAAAGGATAGGAACCAGGTTAAATAAAACTGGAATGCTTAAAACAGCAAAACGGGGACTCGCACGTCTGCTAAAGTTGTCACACAACCATTTGCTTTAGCACACAAAAATACTCAAAATGACAACAGTAGTTAAGAGGATGGTCCCGATTAGGGTAAAAAGTTGCAAACGATTTTTCGTAGTCACAAAATACAAAAATATTAAACTCAAGTATGTTTCAAAATGTTTGCACTTATGAGAGCCATTTTTAAAAGTAGGCAATTTCCTAATGAAGGTCTAAGTTCCTAAAAGTTTATGTTTCCCTAACAAAATTATGGTCCTCACTTATAAAAAGACCCAAGGCTTTCAAAACACAGGTACTAGAGAGTCTCTTAAACAAGAAGATCTATCTTATCTTAAAAAAAGGGATTCTTTTTTCTCCAGATGATTTGTTTGCAAAAGCTATATTCGTATTTAAGGGTCTAGGTTTGCAGAAGCTATGTACGGGTCGATGTTGACGTGTCGTGTATTCTAAACATGTAGGAGTTAATGTTTCATGTCACATGAATCTTCTGAGTGTTGTGGTTTCAAAATGTCCGGAATTATTACCATTCACCACTCCCCATGAAAATACAAAATTGAACTCATGAAAACAAAGCACCTTTCATAAAGCCATTTGACGACGTAATACAGACAACGAACACATTAAAAGATGTGGCTCACCTATGTTCCCGAATATAATTCCATTTTCGGTTGAAGCTACTTTAACTGATGCCTACAGAGGAAAACAACTCTTCAATTACTATCAAATATATTTTCGTTGTGTGCAAAAATAATTATCAAAACCACGTATAAATTATCATACAGGAGTTCAGCTATGGATACATAAGGACAAATAATACAATGGTGAAATAGAATATATGAGATGAAACAAAACATTAGCGACAGTTTGATTACAAATGATATGACAACCATACACGAGTTCTACATTCATTACATTACAGCGTGTTAATTCTTATGTTACTGAAAATTGCTAGGAACTGAAAACGTTTTGATACAGAAACGATACAAGCTCGATTCTATACATCAACATATTAGAAGTTCCTTGTTAAATCGTATAAGAATAACGCGTGGGCGAAAAATCCTCACTGCGCAACAGCAAATGTGCCCAAAGAACACTTGAAAAAGAACAGTCTGCAGATGTTTCATTTAGCCATTTCGCCGTGTTCAAATCACGACTTAAACTATTAGTCAGGATTTTCTAGTGTTAATCTGCGTGGATTAAACATCAGTCTTACCTTTATATTAGAGAAGTCATGGGGTGCTAATGTAATCGGTGATGGTTTTTCCACCAGTTTCAAATCACCTGGAAGAGTAGGATTAGGATAAAAAACAACAAATCACAACTGGTCTGACAATACAGTCGTGCAAACGCCGTACAGTCATTTTAACATTGCACTGTGATTGTAGCCATTGCACCTCAAAAGTTTACAGATTTGAAATCTTGACTTCAAAAATGTGTATAGAGGTTATTGGTTAGAACAGGCTTTAGAATGCAGTCACATTTTGAATTCTTATAAGCCAATTTGAAAGCAATAAAAAAGGATTCCAGGGCAAGCAGTGGTTAAAGCGAATACTATGTTGCTTTTAGACCAAAAAGACATAGCAAGAAGGCCTATCACCGCCTAAGGAAGGAGATGCGGAGTGAACAATCCCCTGAAAATTCCACACCCTAAATACGCTCCAATGCTTTCGTTCCTTTGTAAAAAAGTAAATCACCAGGTTCATTTTTGCTTGGAGAGACATAAAAGTTTGTCACCCCCTGACGTGTCTTGCTAATTTGTCCAATTACCTACTCTCTCACAAAAATCTCGAAACTTACCTAGCGTGGCCAATTCTAATGTTACATTCTGAAGAGTGTCAGCAGTCTGGTTGACTATGAGAACATCCAGAACAATATCATATTGATTCACATTCACGTACGCCTCGGCATAGATCGGATCCGAGAATCCGGTTAATTGTGCAACCTGCAAGGAGCCAAACCAATTACTTTTAAGCGCACTTAACGTTTCGGAGAGAAACAAAAATACGAATGCATAGAATTGAATTGAAATGGCATACTCAAAGGACAAATAAAAATAACAAAGTTATCGGAGGTAAAAGACACTTAAAAATTATGGGTAAGCAACTTTGTCCTGAAGTTTTTTTCTAAGGGAAAAAAGCCTTATTGAGGTAAACTGTAAAAAGCGAAAAAATAACTCTGTTCCCGCAAGCATATGCAATAATGAGAGCTCACTCTCTCTTGTTTTTCATTCGATAGGCACAGTTTAACAGCATGTTTGTAAAACGGCGATGGATTGGTAAGTAGCATTGATTCAAGGCTAGGAAGCTTCAAGTGAAAGCTTCCATTTTGGCAGAAACCTACTTTTTCTAAATAAACTTGGAAAACCTTTTGACTGGTTGAAACAATAACTTATAATTCGATTTTTTGCTTGTTTATTGGTCAGGATTCAGAGGCGGATCTAGGGGGGTGCTATGGGTGCTTGAGCACCGGTCAGAATTTTCGGAGATATAACATTCAATGCATTTTCTCTAATCTCTGAAAAAAGTTTTGAATCCGATGATGTAAATGTATTTTCCAGTAAACTGATGACATACGGTCATGCGTTAGTTAGCATAACCTGTATCTGCTTTGAACTATAAATAGCTAGAAATTTCATGTTGAGCTGCCCTGGAACCAATTTTTTTACTTGTCCATCAAACCACACTCTCGGCCAATGAGCTACTTCAATTCTACGGGTGCTTGAGCACCCCTATCAACCTCTAAGGTCAAAGTTGCAACTGAGCCAATCACATCACGCTCTGATATGTTTTTCCGCAATGTCGAGCACCCCTATCAATCAAAACAAGGCTTCAACCAATCCGTTTGCCAAATTTCGGCTCATCTGAGCACCCCTATCAATCATTTAATAACAATGGTGCATACCGTCACTGAAACGACTAAACCTGTTCGTGTAGCAGCAATGGCGGACATAAAGTCGTTGCTGTTGCAGGTGTTCTCGATTATTGGTTGCCAGTCGACTGAAGAAATTGAAACGGAAAACGAGCTTTTGAGTATTCAGTCAATCGTGAGAGAGGTTTTTGATAAGAGCGTGGTGGATGGTGTCGTGACTTGTGGAAATACACAGATCGATGAGTTCGCTGAACTGCAAATGCCAAAGGTTCAAGTACTGTCCCGTGGAAGTTCTGACCTTCGGCCTTACAGGTTGGTAGTTTCCTTTACCAGGCTTTAAATGCACAACGTTTTAACAGAATATTTCTTGGATTAATTCAACAAAAATATCGAATTTTACAGAGAAAAATGCGCACCCCCAAAAAAGTGGTGCCAAGAATTTTTGGTTGTTGGGGTGGTATGGTAATTACTACCAGAATGAATTCGATACCAATTTCTTGCCTAATGCAGATGACCCTAAAAACGTACTACTTCAACAAGGTACTTAGTAAAACAATCAATTTTTATCAACAAATTCTTACAAGTATTGATTTAAAGGGCCACTCCAGCCCAAAATTTTTTTTGCATAAATTGGTAGTTAGTCAAGAAAAAGAAGCTATCGTGAAAGTTTTTTTCGAAAAGCTTAACTCGTTTTCCAGATATAGACGCTCAAAGTTGAGAATCACCGTAAAAATACGACAAAATTTTTGTCGGAAAAAGCACTTTGTGACGTGTGAAAGGGCTATTGTTTCAATATTCGGCTCTATTGTTATACGTTCGCACTGAAATTCGCACGACTCGGTAGAGGCTCGGAAGAGGCGATTCATGTCGGAATCTCGGTTGTCGTTTTATTTATTTTCCTTCTTTGCGATTGATGTTCAGCGGAGGCTTCCAGCCAACATGGACTAGTAATTCGACAAATCAAAGATGGAAGCTTCAACCTGAACGCATACCCTCATCTTGGCAACGCAGCAAGCTTTTTAATATGGAATGCTTCACGAATTTTCAGATGTGAATGGATTTCTGACCGAAGGCATTTCTTATCGTCGTGTCATCTCAGGAATTTCCAGGGAGCTGAATAATGATTGATGTCTCACCGCATTAGAAGAAGAACCCCATTCACAAAATGGAAACTTTCCCGTAAGTCACAATTCAATCTTATTATCATTTTACTATGTTGAATGTTAGGCGAAACTGCAGGGTGTAGAGGTTCGGAGGGGGTTTGGGGATGGCGTGACACGCAGCCCCTAAGCAACGCAATTTGCCGGGCTTTGAGAAAAACTTCGTCCTCTAAATACAGGTTTTCTAACAGCCAGTGTTGTGAACTGTCTCCCAAATGGTCAGAAATGTGGTAATATGAAAAGTACCACAGGGGCTCTCAAGCAAAATGTCACATAAAATATTACCAAAAGTAGAAGTTTGCTACTTTTTTGTACCAACAAGGGGGCCTGAGCCTCCTAGCACTACATCCCTGCCAATGATCTGTGCACTACACCTTTGCCCGAGGTATAGATGTGTAAAATTTCCCAGGGTTTGTCTCCTGAACCCTTCTTCTTCATGTTCTACCTTGTTCTGCCTTCAATTTTGGAATTCTGCCTATTTCATCATAAAATTGATGCACAATTTCAAAATTTTGCCAGATCAATATCCAGGGCAAAAGATCTTCTACCCAAAAGAAAAAACATGGAACTTACACCCTTGGTCTTGGAAAAAAGATGTGTAATATCCTCATTCTAATGTTTTAAAGGCAGAATTGTTTATATTCGTTAAATTTACCTTTGCTATTCTAGCATTGATTCATATAAGCATGGCCTATATCATTTAAATTCATCTTTGTGTTACTTCAAGTTAATATCCTTAGATGCTATTTGCTATAGTAACAGTGGTTGCCCTTTCACCCCTAAATTTCTCTTTGATCCTTCTAAATATCTATACTCTGAATGCCCCTGAGTGTCCAAGTTTCTTTGATCATTTTATGTTTTAATATGACTCAAAAGTAAATTTCACTGGTATGTTAGTATTTATCCCTGTCAACCTTATTATTCTAGGCATAAAAAAGGTAACAAACTCTTTTATGGATCAGCAGAAAGGATCTTGCAAAAAAATGCTAGATGAAGGTTGGAGATTACATGCATCCTGTTATCTGGCTACTGGCTTTGTGGGAGTGATAACTTGCCCCTCTCTTCCATTCAAGAGTTACCACAAAGACCTCAACACATTATTCTGTTTTTGTATTAACATTTTTACAAAGGAGACTATATTTAAAATTATCAAAATTTTATATATAATTTGGTCATATATAATGTTTGCAAATTATTTAAAGCTAGTAACAACATATAGGTATTTTCTAGAAGTTTTGCAATAGATTATTGTTTCATGATACTTTTATAAGAACATTTCTCATGTGCAATAGAAATTACAAATTGCTAGCTAGTTCACTGGCCTGATTGTATAATTCAATGTAGCCAAGTATTTAAATACATCAAACATGTATTTATTATTCATAAATATAGCAGGTTGAGATTCTGACAGCTTAAAGGAGCCGACAAGGCCCCTGTAATAGCTTAAAGGTTAAATACAAAAATTATATTTACAAAAGTATATTGAAAAAGTTGAATTATTAATATAATCTCAAATCCCTTTTTTGTTTGTATAAAAACAAATTCATAATTTTTGAAAAAGTTGTTTGACTCATGACTAATGGTAGGTTTTTAGTCTTGTCTTGAAAGTTGTATACTTTCTTGTCCATGTCCTCATTTGTCCTGTTTTATTTCCAATAAGTCATGTTGATATGAAGCTCTTTATCCTAATGAATATGTTGTATCAATTCATACAGCTTTCATTCCCGGTATACTGGTTTTGTTTTCTTCTTTCCTCCCGAATTAATTGCGCGATGGTTTTTTAGCTGTTGCACTAAAGGAGGGGCTGATGAAAAAGCGCGAATCTTCTTTTTAAAATCAGGGAACTGGCCTGCCAATACAAATTGCTTGAAAAGCAACATTCCATGAAAGTCTGTCAACATCCTCATGTCTATGTCTCGCTGGCCTACTTTGCCAATTCGACTTCTCTGTCAGAAAGATTCGTGCGACAAAAAACTTCCATATTCGATCAGAATATCAAGACTGATGAGCGATACTTCTATCTTTATATCGATTCCAGATAAAAGTCTGGCCTTCTAACAAACATGCCGCTGCTAGGCCCTGTCTGCCATTTCGCTAGGTTCTCGTTGACCCTTTGGACAGCCGATGATACTTGCCGCGAACTTACCGAGACCGAAAATGCCTGTGACGTCAATCCGAAGATCTCCGATAACACGGTTGAAAAACAATTCAACTCAATGACCATTTTACAAACGCTAATAACTACAAAACGGTTAGAGATATGAAAAAAATAATAACAGGTTCGTTTTCAGGAGGTCTGATTACATCGTGTTCTGAAATAAAAATTTTGGGCTGGAGTGGCCCTTTAAAGGCATTGAGTCATGGTAAATAGGCCTTCTCTATAGGGGTCATTTGGAATCGGCGTGATCGCTGCTGTTTCATGTGATACTTGCATCCGTTGTTGACAACTTGCTATTGATGGAAATTTTTTTGTCAATCAGTACGAGGTCAGTTATGAAAATCACGACTCAGCGGATTCTGGCACTTAGGGTATACCCAATCCATTTTATCATGACTCGATTATATTTAACTCAATTTTCGTATAGTAATGGTCAGTTAACGTATCAATGATTCATTTTGGTTTTTTTTTGTTAGAAACATTTTAACTACCTTTTTACAAAAATGAACCACCGTCTGAATATTGCAGAGCAATCAAATATTGACTAGCGACCTAAAATGTCATTCATTGATTAATGTGATGTACAAACTGCGAAGGTAGCAGTGTTATTTTTAACTAGCATTGCTAGCAAATAGGCTTCTAACAAAAGAGATAATTTTCTATATAGTTAATCTTTAATACCTGAATTTAAAAAAGATTAATTTATCAAGATGGGTGTTGCCTTCATTTAACCGTAAAAAAAGTAGGGTGTGGCATTATTATGGCTATTAAGGCAACGCCCTTAAGCACCTCTCAGATTTTCCGCTGGATCCGCCTCTGAGGATTTACGCTGACATGTCACGTGGTATGAACCATAGCAACTTCGATATCACATGCAAACCAGGCCAACTGCAGGTTTCTTATGTTCCCAAATCACGAACTTCTTTCCTAAATACCCGTTTCACTTCTCAAATTTGAAAAACAAACCTTGCTGAGTTTTGAAGTTTTAGGATCCTCCTCTTTCGAAGAAATTGGATTTCCGATCGCTTGAAGTAAACTAAGCTGCAGCTGATCCTAAAAGTAGAAAAATAATCGGAATTTTCCAGCTGAAACTCCAAAAAATAATGCAAAATATGATATTGCAATCAAGCCTATTGAAATATCTGGGCTCTCAAATCTTTAGTTCTGTCTAATTTCATAAGGCAGCGAGAAAGTTGTCGACTAAAGGTCGAAACATGCCACTCTACATCTGGGTTGGGTCATACGACCTAGCAGTATTCCTTTCAAACGGCTCACAGCATATCCGTTGCAAAAGTCTGGTATTTTCTGCTCTCACACACTGAATATAGAAACGATTTTGTGCTAAAGAACTTCAGCATTTATTAAAACAGTAATGTTATAAAAAAGATCCTTTTCTGACACTGAACTGCCCAAGAAAAGTCAAAATGATGGTCAGGTACTATATCCAGTTTCTTAAAAAAAGTATACCTGGGCATCGTTTTAGACAGCCTATTATTGTCAAAATGCCAGTGTTAGTTAATTGTTACAAAGATAGCATGAATTCTACAGAGTATCAGTTTTGTAGCTTTTAAGAATATAAAGATAACAAAATAACTACATGAACGGATTAAATTGCTTTGCATATAACAGACGCAGGAGGTTTTCGAAAAAAATATTAAAAGTGGCTTTTAAAAAGCAAGCATTGAAACAATATACAATCCAACTTTTAAATTCTGTACAGCCAAAAAAATTCTAAGTAAAGATTGCTTGATTTCTAATGCTTTTTATGATCGCCTATTTACCTCTGCAACGCCTTGGTCAGATTTGGCAAATAACTGCAAAAATGAGATCGAATCGTCTGGCTGGTTCGCTATCACTTTCTTTTCGGTAGTGGGCTGAAAAATAAACAAGCTCGTTAGAATTTATGTGAAGATTAACACGAGGAAAAAATGCTACAGTTTACATTGAAGGTTGGTTCAAAGATTATCGTTTTCTGTGGCATGAACCGTGAGTTCCAGAGCAAATCGTTCAGGGAGGTACTTCTATTTTAAATCAAAAGAAAAAAACAGAGTTTGCATAAAAGTCTGGTTGTTCCGCTAAAAAGTAATTAGAGAATAAAGAAACTACTGTCTCGAGTCATGCATCAAGGCGTTTTTCGGAGACACCAAATGCTAAAAGAGGAAGGGACTAGGTAAGGCCGAAGGGGCAGCAATTAATGATTGAAGCTGGATATCTTTTGGATTCCAGACAACATATTGTACATCAAGTACTAAGCTACTCAGCACAATTTTCCAACCACAAATTAACATAGAAAGTTGAAAGAAACCAACTTGGATAAACACAAGGCCTGTGGTGAGAATATTGCGATCTCCGTTTCTTGGATACGAAATACTCTATTCATAAACGCTGGTCAACCTATAAACACGCACATAAGCTTATTCTTTCTCATATTCGGCTACCATCACACTCCAAAACATTATTAATTGTTATTCATCGAAAACCACCGATCATCTGTACTGTAATTTCATAAAATTGAATTGGGTTTGGGTCACTATGATTAATTCCATTCTGCCAGTTATATTCCAATACAATTTTAACCCAGAACGTGCAAACTATCTTATTAAACCCAGAATGAAGTCACAAAATGCTCTGTCAACACTAACAACATTACAAGGACCATTCACAGTGGCTGTTATTGGATTCTACTGCACATGCATTTGCTCGGTTGAGAAAAGCCTTAGTTTTCACCTGCCCTGAAAACACCGCCACAGACCAGCTGAGGCGCTTAGCAACAAAGACCTTGAAGCTGTTAATACCTTTCCAGAGTCTAATATTTGAGCATTTTCTTCCAGCATGACAGATACTGCACTTCTGCAAAGTTTACCGAAGATTTCTTTAAGGAGCTGTTTTCTTTCTGCCAGAGCTTTCACACAGGTTGCCAATCTGTCTAAATCGTCTTCACTTATGGCCTGAAACAGAACGGTTTTTTCTACTTTAATAGGACGTGGGGCAAATAGTTAAAAGCCAAATCAACACAGAGGCAGTGGCGTTGTATTGGTGGGTACCAGTGAGTGGGGCAGCTCCTTAAAAGTTTGGTGTAGATTTTGACTTACTATAACTTGAAGTTTAAAACGTCAACTCTAATTTCAAAATATTAGAGTTGTGAAATGAGAGAAAAATTAAATATAATCCACATGCTATATTATCTTGTTCTAGTTTATTAAGTATATAGCCAACCTTGTTTCTTTTATTGTAAACAAGGCTATGCTTTTATTTTCTAATTATACCTTTGGTTAACGGCCCAAGCCAGATAAGTCCATACTTTTCTTGGGTCGTGTATATTACAGTTTTAATATAGTACTCATCTTCTGTAGTATAAGAATAGAATTGAATTTAATTTAATTAAAAAATTGTTGGTTCTGAACTTCGTTCGTAGGCTTCAATTCTAAGCATCAACTACAGAGCAGTAGCAATAAAAGGGCCCTCTTCTATTGAAATATTCTTAAGAACTTTACAAATAAACAATTGGTATATTCTGCTAATGAAATGATTGATTTTTAAGGGTATCCTCTCCAAAGGGGGATATCCTGGTAAAAGGGGGGTAGATTAGCAATTTTCTTAACACAATAGGGACATCCTGGTAAGGGACCAATGTAATTAAGCTCTTAGTGGAGCAATCTTTATGTCCCTTTGAGGCTTGGACAAATCAGGAACGAAAACAATTTTGAATCACCTTGTAAAAAATACAGAGTTTAGCAAGCTCTATATAAGACTGACTGGGATTTCATCAGAAAAACCGCAAAAAATACGTCAATACACTTGTTTTTGTATTCAACAGCAAAAAAGCACAGATTAAGAAATGTATTAATAATGATTGTGTTTTCATATCTTAGGTTCGCTGTTACCTAAACCATATTTTTTACACGCACTTCTCACCTTTTTAGGAAGTCCGGATTTTCCGAGGTGAATTATGCTCGCCATTATCAACATCGCTTCGGCACAAAATTTCTGTCAAAATAATCAATTTAATATTAAAATCTTATAAATTACTTAAATTATTTTCGTCAGAGATGCTTTAACGTTTCGAGGTCGATTTTCTAATCGAATATGTTAATATTCTTTGTGTTTAATTATTGTTCTTCGTTTACAATATTCACATGATCGAAAATGTCACATCAGTAATGATGGAATAAAAATTGACTCATTGAGAGCTCGTTGCGAGATTCTCAATTTCCTTGAATCGATTCCACATACAATTTAGATTGCATTCAAAGATCGATTTAACATAAGAACACAACGAATACAGAAAAGAGAGGAAACAGAAGCCAGTAATTTCTGCTTACAGACAGATTTCTACCAAACAGCATTTGCATTTAACAAAACACCTCATTGATTCAATGCGCGTTTTTCACACCGCATTTAAAGAATATATAGTAAACTTATTAATGTTACGTATGTAAGCTTTCTCTGACGTTATTTTGATTTTGGCTATCAAACACCGGCCTAAATTCAAACTACTATCGATTCCCAATAACACTGCGTAGCAGCCTGACACGCGTAAAACGAACCATGGAAACAATAAATAGGAAACCACAGAGTGGTAGTGCGATTGCAAAACACTCCTTTTTCTTATCTGTACTGCTAGTAACTGGGGAAAAACAATTTACTATTGTAAATTGTAAAAAAGGTGAATATTTACATTCTGTTTCATTTGGTCTTTTTCCAACTCAATGAATCTCAAAGCGAGTTTAGTCAATGTGCTGCCAATTGCTGACCCCACAAAGAAATCCCCGTTCAAGAGATGAGTACGAAGTGGTGGCCTGAAAAGACAGGCATTCAACATGATGCTTTTATAAAAAAATTCTTCTAATAAAATGATATGCAAAAGTGGAGCATATAGATGGTCAATAAAAACCCAACTGAGGAAACTATAAATGTTCTTCATGTAGAATTGATATTTATGCGTATGATTTGACCAAGACTTGCGGAGAGGATCCTAGACTTGCAGCGGTGATAAATTTATAGAGATTCTAAGCTACCAAATACATTGATGTAAATAAATTTCTTAAAAAAGATGAACCGAATTTCTAGATTTTTTTTTCATTTTCCAATGTCAAGGTCAGAACTCGCTAAAACACAGCAGCGAACAACAGTGCTTATTCAAAACTTAGGCATAAATTCCTTTCTGCTAAGTTTTCCAAACAAAGTCAAAAGTCAAAACAATTATGTAGTGTGCTATAATTCACCATACCTTTTATCGTCAGCCTTGGCACCAGCCCCTCCAGTCTTGCTTGTAAACGCACTTTGTGTTGCATATGTGCCATCGGCCGTCACCAGCTTCTGACCACTGCCTTTCGAGTCTTCGTGAGCTGAAAAACAAAAGCAGGATTTGCAATATCAAAAGCAACCATATAAATCGTAAAAAAACTTCATTTGATAACCAAATCAATTCCAATTATTCCACCGTCTGGTGATTCGAATTTTCCTGAACGAGAAATTGTTTCTCTTTATAATTTTCAATGTTAGTCTATCTTTGATTATTTGCTTCCAGTTGATTTCGGATTATTTGATGTTTACAATCTACATTCAGGACAGATGGTATTTATTAATCCCCTTCCCCCGTTGTGATAGCTCTCCTACTGAAGTGCATATATATAAATAATAAATGGGGGACGGGGGTTTAGGTTGGGATATATAAAACATGATATACAGCATGTGTTTAGGTGCTTGTTCCATCAGCTGGATTCAAGATTGTAGGCAGCAAAAATTCAAGCATCGTTGGTCTGTATTCCAATTTCCTTTTCAAAATGTTTAACTTAGTTTATTTTACAATCAGGACATACCGCTGTCATGTGGGCAGACTCTGAAAGAACTATGGCAACGTTTACCTTCACTGTCTTCACCAGCCTCCTTTTTAAGTTCGTCATCAACAATTGGGATCTGAAAGAGATTACAAAATGACCATGCTAAGAGCCTTTAGAAAAATAGCAACGAGGTTTAACATGAATTTGATTATGAATCAAATATCAAAGTATCATTTCATGAAAATTACTGTTTACTAGTCTCTCATAAAGTGCTCAATGTCCTATGGTTAGAGCTGTACACGCTTTTGGTGTATATATAGAAATGAACGGTTCTAACATGCTACTCTGAGTTTCACACTTGATGCGATCATCATGCTAACAAGTATTATTTGAAATGTATTATGGAACAGACAAAGCCTAAAGTGGTAAGATAATTCACTTAGCAAATAAAACAGATTAAATTGATTTAATTTTGCATCAAAAATTGAAGCTGTTGTCTGTGAACTAATATTTCGTTTTCCTTTCCCTGATTCATATACTGACTTATGATGTGTGCTGATTCATGATCGTTTCTAAACGTTTAAGTGCATCTAATCTAAACGGTTTCTCTCTATAGATTTTTCAAGATGGAGAGAGCACTGTTTATGATTGTGATGCCAAATGCTTGCGATCATCCTATTCTTGTCGTCTCACTGTAAGGTAAGGCAATTTTAAATACTTTCTGAACGAAAACGATTTATGTCAGTGCATTACCTCGCCAAGACCAGTTTTGATTTCATTCATCACAGACTGAATATCGCTAGCTCTGATGCAGTATTCACCCAAAATCCACAGGGCATGTCGATGAATTCTAGGAAATATGAAAAACCACTGCGATTAACTGAACGAGTTCTTGGAAATCCTTACGAAAAACAGTCAATCAACGAGATTGAATAAACGAAAAATAACAATCTCAGTATCCAGGCAGCCCTTTGAAAAAAACTGCTAGAAACGGACAAGCTTTTGGCAAACATCCTTTCCTCTAATTTTCACAAGTCAAATTAACTAACAATGACGTAATCAATTTATCATATCTTTTTTGCACAATCATTTGGCAGACACCGGAGATCGACTTTTAGCTACTGACTTTAAAGACTTTTTATGGCTTGAGTTCTAAATATCGATCTAAAAGCGCTTTTAGTAATGGCAAAATCAGACTGGATAATCTAACAAAATTGCATGTTTCAGATGCACGCAAGCTTCTCTGTGATCACTCACCGCAACTGCTCATGTACGCATGCCTGAATTGAACTACTACTTTTTTCGTTATCAGCCTAATTGCTAACGGCCTAATAAACTCTCGAGTCTCCTATTGGTAAAACATAAACAATTGCATACAATTGTCGACACTTACTTGATTGATTTAATTGTATGGAAACTTTCAAGCAATTTCTCGATAATAACAGTTTTTAATGTATCGAATTTTTGAATTGCTTCTCGAATGAATAAGAGTACATCAAGAGCAGCTTGCTCGTTTGTATCTCCAAGGAATTCTGTGAGCTACAACGAAACGGAAAATCCTTCTTATGCACCTGAGTGTTACTTAAGGTCTACAATCCCGGACAAAATTGTTGAGACAAAATGTAATTTCTGTAATTTTCTATTTTATATCGCCCCTATAAATTCGAATCCCCCTTTCCCCCCCGAAACAAGGTTGGAATTGTAGTTCTATCATTTCTCCTTTAAAATCATGCATTCAAAATTGAATTGGGGGAGGGGGAAAAGTTATTTTTCAAAGGAAAGTGAAAATATAAACTTTCCTTGAAAAGTCTCAACCATTTTTGTCCGGGATTGTAACTATAATAGCTTAAGGGAAAAATCTATTCAAATCGACAAGGAAGTGTACAATATAAAGGGCGAATGACTCGCAATAACAAAATTAAAAAAAAAATCATTTCTGGCTACTGCATACAGAGCTTCATTATATGTTTGTATAACATGGTTCCTGGTTCTTCCTTCGCACTGTTTTCTAGTCAATGTCTGGTAAATGCAACATTCAAAGTTTAAATCGTAGCATAAGATATTATAAACTAGCATTTTCAAAAATGTTGCCCCTTATTACCCTCGCTGGGCGTGATTAAATTACAACATAGAAGATAAAATTGGAAATATTCATTACCATTGGGACGACAGAGGGTGCAACCTCTGGGAACTTGACACTGCATGAATGCAGAGTACGAACCAAAATCTACAAATAACAAAAATTATGATAATTAAGACAGCAATTGCAGATATAGGCTAAAATACAACTAATATTATATATACTGTTAGCGATTTAATACAACTAATAAAATTTTCAATGATAATTTGAACTTAATAACAAGCGTTTTGTGAACTCTTATCAAACTGTTCAAGAATTTTCTAGTTTTCCACTACTATCATGAGAATGCCATCCCTATTTTAATGTCTTTCGCAGAAGAGGTCCTAAGTATGCTGTGTTCGCCACAATCCCCGCTCCATCCTCATTTTTAGCAAACTTCCTAATTGGAAGGTAGGATTGAGACAAATTGTGATACAATTAAAAACTTCGTTTTCACCTTGATAGCAAACGTACACTCTAAGATATTTATAAGCCTGCATAAATCTTGCATGAAGATTTCATTTAATGCATACAAAAGTAACATGTACCTGTCTGTAATTGCCAGACTCGTCTTGATCACCCTCCGTGTGTGTCTTGTTCACCTCCTTTCTTAACAGCAAAACAACCTGACAAGCAATTGAAAATCAATGTCAAACCGGGGGGACTCGTTCACTCAGGTACACATCAATTGATTTTGTGGTGAAACTACCATATAGTTTAAATCAGAAGGATAAGAATTAATGCTCATTGTACCTTATTGTCCAACTAGAATAGAACTTTAGAGTGTAAAATGAAGTGGTCCCAAAAACGAACATCTTCATCAACTCATTAACAGAACTATTTGATAAATTTGTGCAAAGAAGTCGCGAGTTGATGTGGCTGATTTTTTTCAATAACCTATTGGTGGTGATGGATAGAATGTATGGAGCCTTACTGAATTTTGCCTTCCTTCAGGATATTCACCTTTGCAACTCTAAATAGGTTCTATGGAGCACATACATAGTTAATGTACGGTTTCAGGTCATTTTAGACCGGTTTCAGGTCATTTTAGACCGGTTTCTGGTCATTTTGGACCGGTTTCAGGTCATTTTAGACCACCCTATCTGACCAATGAATTTACAGCAACGAAATTTGAACTCACTTCTTCACAATTTCTTGCCGTCATCAAATCAACAACAAGCTCCAAGCTCTTTTTTCTGACTTCCAGATCAGGGCTGGCGAGCACTCTGAGTATGTCCATCACCAGGTCCTAAGGCAACAGCAAACAAAAAAATCACATTGAGAACATGGACAATATTAAAATCAGGAAAGTGTTTTTGAAACATCCTATATACAAAGGTCTAACTTTGCTTTGAAAGACACAAGTTTGAAACAGATAGACTCTCTCTTATTGTCTTTGAAACAGACAAGTAAATATCAGCAAATTGTGAAGAAGATAATAAAAAAGTTTGAGAGTGGCATAAAGTCAAGCTGCAGAACTCAAAACATTACGATGAACGTATTAATTTTAATCAATTCATCAATTTTATCAATTCAGTTAATGTATCGTATTAAAATAATTATTAATTACCACTTTAGTTGATTGAATAATATCAAACTTTATAATGGTTACAATAAAGATTGATTTATCGTTATTTTCTTGTGGAATTCGCACCAAAAATTTAGTCTGTTTACAAACTGCAAGAATGCTAGTTTGCGATGATGAAATACCCAAAAAAGTTTGAAATATTAATTTATTTGATAGAAGAGATCATAGCCAAAAAATTCCAAAACAGCTGAAAATTGTATTCTCATAAGTATTATATATAATAACAACATAAAAAGATATGAAATTTTCATTTGATATTTTCATTCAGCTAATTTTTTCGGGCTACATTCAAATATCTTTGAAAAATGAAAACCTGATTAAAGTTCTAAGGTTCCCTATGTTTGAGAATGTGTTTAGGTCGAAAAACATTGATAAGTCGATTCTAATTTCACAATTAACTTACTGATTAAAATTTGCACAACATTTTCTATAAAATATTTAATTGTCATTGTGACATTTTGATAGTTACTTTAATAATGTGATACATAGCTTTTTTAATGTATTAAATAGTAGAAAGAGTGACATAAACTTTTAAGATCTTGAGTCATCATTTCCCAAATTTTCTGATACAGGAGGAACTGATGAAGAAACCCCTTTTTAAACATCTTGAGTTAACAAAAAATACTGTTCTTATGCAAAAAAGATGCATCATACAAACCTGGAGGACTTTTTCGTGTGCTGGGTTCTCTTTAAGTTTGATCAATCGATCCAAAACAATGAGTTTGACATTATTGTCACTTTCTTTCACAATCAAATCAATGTAACAAGTGGCAGCAGCCTGGAAATGGAAAGAAAAAAACAATAAATGAAATTTGTTTGCTTTGTGGTTTAAGTGTGTTCCAAAACTAAGATGGAGAATTGTCTATAAAAAGTAACAAAAGGTTGTCTCACCTTGACTGCAGTTGGCGCAGATGACAAAGTGACAAGGGTTCCTGCTGCTTCATATCTGACTGCATTTGAGGATGAGTTCAGCAAGTTATAGATGCATTTAATAAATCTTGACCTTTCTGAAGGGTTGGCAATGCAGACCTATGAAAAATAATCATTTTATACCTGCACCTTACTTCTAATCTAAAAGCACTTACAAGAAGAATCATAATTATTGCAGCGTTGATATCACATTCTTCAATAGATTCTTGTCTTTTCCAGTACACAGATCCAAAAACATTGTCAACAGTCTTCTATTCCTTTTAAAAATTAAAAAATCTTCTATCCTTGAAAATATAATCCTAACTAATACGTATCTAATACCACTGTCTGTTACCTTAGGAACCAAAATTTAAAACTGTAAATTACATCGTAATCAGAAACTATTTTTAAATTATTTTACAAAGACAAGCTGTTGGTCAAATCTTTATCATCTGCTGGTTAAACGAAGTTGCTTTTACTCCATGGATTATGCTTAGTGTTGGACAAAAGAAAAAAATTGATCACTTACCTTATAGATCAACTCCACAATGACAAGCTGCAAAATATCACCAAAACTGTGTACTTGATCAATACATGTGCTGAGATACTCAAGAGCCCTTTCCTAAAAGAAGAATTTTTTAGAACTATCATGGAAAGAATTTTATGCAATAAGCCTTGTGGTACAAAAAATATGTTAAGAAGTTAAAGTTGCAAATCTTCAAATTTAACCCACTTTTTCCAGCTAATATCTTTCCCAAAGTAAACACATGCACAATCACATGCTTCTGAAAAATTTCTAAATTTCACAAGACAGTCATTTTTTCATATTTGAGAAATCACATTGGGAGTGATAAATTTTTGTAACATCAAATTGTGAGATTTTGCCCACAAGGATGGGAGCCAGTGAAAGAATTTCAGGTATGTTGACAATGCACCTGAGCACACTGACTGCCACATTTTGACAAGGTATTTAGGAGCAGTGATATACTAGACAAACTATTTAAAGACTTGATAAAAAAAGAAACCTGGTCGGCATGAATTAGCATCATAAAGGCATTGCGTTTACAAGAGGCATCTTGCTCCTTTTCAAGAAATCCATAGACCAACTCAGGGGCATCAGGGATAAGAAAGTCAAAGTTCCTAAAATTGCAAAAATGTAATATTAATGAATTTATCTTTATGTTTGTGAAAATGTATTTCTGTAGTTAGTGAAATGTCTTTAACTAGTTCATTTGATTTGGAAGCTACTTGAACTTACATCAGCTGAGCCTTATTTGCAAGAAAGTTTTATAAAAATGGTTCCAGATTTCACATAAACATTCCATATTTTTCTGCCATATATATATACATACTGTTTCATTGCTAATAAAACTTTAGAAACCCAGCTGGTAGAGAGCATAAAATATGTCCATAATCGAAAGCAAAAAGCAGTGAATTTTTTGCTCCTCATTTATCACCTGTAAATGGTATAAATTGCCATGACTGCATTTCGTCTGACATAAGAATGTCTGTGTTCCAAGCATCCCCTTATGGCAGGCATCAATGGCTCCAGTAATTCTGCTTCCTATTATTTGTAAAGATAAAAAAAATTAAGATGCTATGTGCAAAGGATATGCAACGAAATCTGTTTAAAGTTATTGTTAAAATCTCCCTTAATGTGCCCTGTGAGAAATACCTTGCAATCACAGGCAAACAATTGTTACTGAAGACAACAATTATATACAATAGGTTCTCCTCACTTAATGCACCTACTCTTTAAATGCCCCCTCTTTTAATTTAGGCCCAAGTTAAGTGTAGCTAAATGAAAGAAATGCCATCCTTTTTTCAACATATCTGTATCAATGGATTCTATTGGGAAATATGGGATCTCAATTTACATGGTAGAACAACATATAAAACCAAGATATATATGTATTCATATATAAATCTCAAATAATCCTTTCTTCTTTTAAGGACAGGAAACTTCAAATAGAATCTTAATGATAAGCAATGATTAATACCAAAAAGTAAATATATACTATCAATCTACAAAAAGGATCTACCTACCTTCAGTTTACAAAGGAACCTCAAAGTGGAACCTCTTATGTATTCATTTGGATGTTCCAAATCCTGCAAGGCAAATAAACAGATATATATTATATTCCACTATGCACATCTAAATGTTTTTCAGATGTATCACAGAGAGAACACAACATGTTCAATTATATCAACAGATATATCAAACATGTTTCAATTATTCAAAAAGCATACAAAAATACCTACACAAAAGCAATGAATTGAACTTATACATATACATGTAATTGTGACTGAATCAATTTTTAAATAAATACAATAGTAATCAATAAATAAATTTTCCAATATTAATAAATACTTCTTTTATTTACTGAATACTTGATATTTGGAAATACAAGAAATGGCAGCAGATTTAATATACATTTCACAATAACAAAACTAAAAACAGACTAACAGAAGTAGCAAGAATTTAAGAAACTTCAGAACATGCAACATAAACTTAAGTAGTAGAGCCTGTTATAAAACTATGCTCCTTGTTACATGTATGTAAGGCTGTTAGCAGTGGTGTACACCAGTGGCGTAGTGTCTGTGTATGCTAGGCTTGCAGGGCATAAACAATTCTAGACAAATTCTGAAATTCTTGCAACATTTCACTGATAATAAATACATCATCAGTAAAAACATATTCCACAATAAATGGCCTCTCTTTCTGGTCATAACAGCATGCAGTGAACTCTTTTTGCCTGTCTACTGTCATCATCAATGATAGAAAGGGACATGTGATGCTCCAGTGCAGCTGAAGTGCTGCTCATGTGCAGCTTCTGAGAGAAGTTAGAATTTTCCGGATTGGAGCTTGCGGTTGGCCTGAGTGAAAGCATTCACAAATATTTGATAATTCTCCAAATTTTTCCGCCTATAAGCTGCTTTTTGCAAATATTCTTTGCATGATATATTATTTCAAATCTTATCATTTGGTTTTTTTGACTTTGTGATTACGAAAAAACGAAAAATTTTTGTCATAGTCTATTTGTCATGATCCGCATTCCATAATTCAAGTCGAAAGGCTTGCCAGTATAGTCAGACTTTTTGGACCAGGGCATGCGGTAGACCTGAGCGCAAGCCTTGCCAAATAGTTGATGATTTGCAGGGACTAACTTTCTGAAACTTTACACATGTAAGCATCTTCAACTCTAACAACTCTAACAGCTCAGTATTTTCATTATTGTCAATTACGAGGGTAGAAAATGAGCAGAAACTTGTGCTCCTGTCTGCCTAGGCTCTCCTGTGAGCTTATGAATGATGTGTTCAAAAAATTACTAACCTTTCTGTAAGCATCACAAACAAGAATCATTTCGTGCAGAAGTTTTCCATCTGGCTGCGTTTTTGGGACTATCTCCCAGAAAATCAATAAAAGCTTCTTTATCATGTGGTCTTTCAGGGGCAGCACAAATCGAATGATTGTCATCAAGACACCGGGCATCTTTTCTCCATTCAAAATATTATACATCACCTTCTTTAAGGCAGTGACTTTTGTTGCGGTGTCACCCTTTTCTAAAATAAATAATTGACTTTCAAAACCAGATTTATATAAAAGGTAGCCATTAATACAAACCAACTTCTTTCAAGTGCCTAGAAAATGATTTTTTTAATTTCTCAGTCATTCAAACTAGTCCTAGTAATATTGGGCATGCAACTGCACACTCACCTACACACATGCTTGAGACTCCCTAGGCATGCTTTTCATCACACACACAGCACCAGGTAATGACTGACTATTTTTGTTTCTCTTTTGTTTCTTTTAATTTTTAAGAGTTTTTTCTCTAATTTTATTCTAAATATTCTTTTGGTGTGTTTTTTTGATGGCATCCCATATTAAAAAACTGATATCCTTTTGTCTTAATTACTTCATTTTCAAGAAACTTCTTTCAGAATTTAGTAAAAATTTGTTGGCTTATAAAAACATCAAAAGCTTTTTCAAACAGTAATACACCCCAAAAAGAAATATTTCTTTTATTTAAAATGCTATCAGGTCTTCATAACAACTATAAGACCTAAAATTTATGTACCGCACATCATCACTTGCCGTAACCCTTCAAAGTGTGTGATTAATAACATGCCAGCTAACTTTATATTACCAGGAATATCAAACTAAGGTCTACCCAGCACTTCAATGCTTGTTCGCTCATCTTCATTGTTCTCATATCAAAGTAATCATATTATAGGCTCCAAACGTCATCATGTTTTACGGAGTTGCATCACTTCATATCAAGGACAATAAAAACCCTAAAAGATCTGTCTTACTTTACATATATAACCATGGTTATTGTTCCGACACCATAACTGTTCCTACATTTTGTTTAATCATCCAGCATGCATGTGCACACAAACACATTAACCATCTGCACACAAACATACTCTGAGGTCTGAGCACATCTAATTAATTTTTCTTAAAATTTCATGCTAGATTTGTTGTCAAGTCCTGTGAGTAATGCTGCAAAGATTGTGAAAATGAAGTAAAGACCTTTCTTGCAAAGCAAATTTTGGTTCCCTGTAATTAAACAATGCTAAAAAAATTATTTGAAAATAGATAGAGTTAATGAGTTAGTTTGATGTGTTAGGTCGCAGTTTTTTGTTCAACTCTTTCTTCATCAAGAGTTTTTGTACAGTATTCAAATAAAAACAAGTTAAGTTGCTTAAAATGTTGATGATTTGGCTTTTTTTCAGGGCCTCCTACCCGTGTTCGTATGCATATTTTCATTGTTGTTGCCTGCCGGATGAAAGTCAAAATGTAATAAGATCTAGTGCCGGAACATTAGCCACGACGTTTCATTTCCATATAGTTAACTTAATAATCTTGCCCTAGTAAGTGGCACCGGTTCAGTGCAATTTTTTAAGATGTCCATTCTATCAAACAATCACATAAATAAACATCTTTATCAATAAAAAGGAAGTTTTTTTAAAAAATGAGTAAATTTAGATTAAATAATATAAATATTATTCTCGTTTGGCCTTAGGCCTAATTTCCTCACCAAGATCTTCCTTGAGTTTGGCCTCTGTGACTGACTCATTTTCAATGGGATAATTTATCAATGTGTAACAAGATGATTCGGCAGCAGTCATTGTGACCTTAATAGGTACAACCTTCTCCAATCAATTAAAGCTGAGCCTGTATTTCTCTTCTTCGGAGAACAGTTCCACAAAATATGGCAACTAACAAGGACGTGGCTGACCTCTTCTCCAAATGAGACCTCGTTTTCAAACATCTCGTTCTCACGAAAAAATAATACGGAACGGTACTAATAAAAAGTGGGGAAAATAAAGTTAGTGATTGGTTTTGGAATATACGAATGAATTACTCCATCACTTCTTTGGTAGATACACAACTAGAGAAATAGAATTAATACCGCAATATTCGTTTAAACAGATATTTTAAGGAAACACTCAAAACAGAGAAATGAGCAAGGCTGTAGCCACCATTGTCCTTTTGAAGAGTGGGGTTGGAAGGGGGTTCAGGCCACAGGAGTTATAAAATCCTTTGTTTCAAAAGAAGAATCCTTTTGATCCTAATTTTTTCAAGAAATTGTGCATAAATTCTTTAAAAAAGATTTATTATACAGCACTGGAAACGGGTAAGAAGAAAAGTAAATGAGTAAATCTTTTTTCATGTTCATTGTTGAATACTTATATGCAATGATATATTGTTGGGTATCTTGCCCAATATTTAGCAATGTTTATGGTTATTTGATTAAAATTAACAAAAAGACAATTTTATAGACTTTCCATCATTTCACACTTTGGTACTTTAGAAGACAAGTTCATGTCGCAATACATGGATGGTTCAGAGTTTCTCATCTTATTTAAAGATGCTATCTGGAGTCATTGTCATTCAAAATCGATTTATACTTTGAAAGGGAAGGGGGTAGGGTAACACCCAACAAATTGACTTCAGGCCTACTTGATAATGTATGCCTGCAAGATTAAATACTTAAAAATAGCCATAAGTTTGCCAAAGTTCTTTAATAAATATGTATGTGGATTAAATGAGCTTTGTTTGAAAGAAAAATTGAGAGGGTTTTTTTATTAAAAAAAATTTTGCACTTAGCCAACCATATTTGTGGAGAGATCAGGTGATTTATAAGGAAAATTTTAAAATGTGCCTATATTCTACCTACTGCACTGAAAATGGGTAAGAAAAAAGGTGATTCATAAAGAAAATTTAATAATTGGCATTTTACTTTTTATACTATATTTATATATCAGAGGTCCTGAACAACCAACCTGATTTTATAAATCATTCCTAACACAAATACTAAGTTCTTCTAACCTTTATCCTTGCTTATTATTAATTCACTCCACTAAAAAATTATTTCTTATCATATGTTGTTTGGGGACAACTCAAAATCTGTGAAAAACCTCACAGGCTGCCTGAGGCACCAGGATTGTGGGAACTTTTTTAATTTTTGTAGCTGTCTGAATTTTCATTAAAAGTGTATTATATAATTGTAGGGTTGAATGTATATACAATTATCAAATTTGATAAAATCGAAGAGTCATTTCTCAAAGAGAAGGCAGGATTTGTTGGTGCTGATCGTGATGGTTACATCTACTGCAGGTAAATTTGATTACAACTGAACAATAATATCTACATATTGCAACATCTTCATTCTTAGGCTCTCGTTGAAACTTCAGCATGATACAAATTCAAAAATCTTCTATTATAATAAACCTTTCAAAAGAAACAGTTAATGTTAAATAGATATACCAGAAACCATGATTACATTGTACCTGGTGCTATTTGCTTAAGATTAAATAATTCATTTGCAGACTTTTTCTGAAACTGGACTTGGCAAAATGTTTGCTTGACAATCTCATTATTAACTAATCTAAAAAGTCAAACTAACTTTGTTTTATAAGAGACATATAGAACATTGTGAGATATACTAATACATGTTAAGTTCTTTAACTGTCAAAACATTTAAAAAATGTCACGAATGAATGAACAAATTGCTGACCCCAAGATTCCTTAAAAAATTGCTTTTGGCATTATAATGTTTGACTGCTTGGCTGCATATTAAATATATAAATAGGATCTAAAAATATTATAGGAAACATAAGTAACCTATCTAGTATATATTGGTTATAAATATAGGACTACTACTGAAGAAATACGTGGCTATAACGATACAATTTTAATCCATTTACTCAACCCATGGCCGTTCAATGGCGTTTGTTGAAACACGAAGTCCTTCTTCAAGAGCATTTAACTTTTCCATATCACTTTCATCAATCTGAAAATCAAAAATTTCAGCATTTTCTTTAATTCTTGAAGGGTTCGAGGACTTCGGAATTGTGAAAATCTTTCTTTGGATTGCCCAGCGCAGTAATATTTGAGCCTCTGTCTTATTCCACTTCTTTGATAATTCTGCGAGAACAGGAGTTTTGTTAAATTTTACACACCTTGCAAGGGGGCAAAACCCCATCACATTGATGCCAAGGCTTTTACAGTAATCAATGATCTTTTGTTGCTGAAGCCACGGGTGAATCTCAATTTGATTAATGCTAGGTAATGGCATCTGATTAATATCACAGGCTTCTTTAAGTTTTTCTAAGTGGTGCACGTTGAAATTTGAAACCCCAATACTTCTGATTAGGCCATCCTTCTTCAATTCTTCCATGGCTTGCCAGGTCTCTACTATTTTCCCGCCACTTGGCGAATGAATAAGATACAAGTCAACATACTCAAGTCCTAGCTTTTTCAGACTTTCCATAAATGCAGCTTTGGTCTTCTTGTAGCCATGATCGCTGATCCACAGCTTTGTTACGACAAAATAATTGTTTCTTTCGACACCAGAGTTCCTCAAGGCCTGTCCGATCTCCAACTCATTCCCGTAGTACTTCGCTGTATCAAACATTCTGTAACCATTTTGCAAAGCATATTGGATTGTTTTATCCACATTTTCAATTACATTATACAATCCAATGCCAAATAAAGGCATTTCTATGCCATCATTTAGTTTTAAAACGGTAGAACTTGCCATAGTTTCAGACTTATCTAGACACCGTTTATCGTGTCATATGGCTAGGCCCATTCAACCGGAAATGCCCGACGACCACAATTTCTGAAGTGCCAACCGGATGCCAATGTGATTTCTCACCCCACTGAGCAAGAAATATTCTTCAGGCAGTGTCAAGACTTGTAAAAATGAGTAACCCGACCATCGGTCAGAAAGGTGAATTTGTCAGCAATATATTATAGTATGAACTTTGTAAACAGGGGCGTAGCTTTTGGGGGTGTGGGGGGTGTCATTGGAAATTGGGGCATTGGAAAAGTCTTTCTCAGATATGGATACTTACATTATTTATATGTATTTATATATTTCATTTGCTATGAAATGCATAACGTTAATTATTTTATGTTTTTCATTGATATCCTTATCAATTATATTTCGGGAAATTTATGGAAAAAGGGAATATTCGGGCAAAATTATTTTGACAAAAATATTTGAGATATCAATACGCTCCTGTTTGTGAAGAGGTACTGCTACTTTTGGCTAGATTTAGATTAAGAATAGAGATCAACGGCAGAATAACTGGCAGAAATTGAACCATTTGTCATAGACAAAAGTCCGTGTTTTATATGGCTAATTAGAATAAAAATTACTGTTTACCGTTCAATCTTAGAGTGTTCGAATAAGCAGAGCTGTTTAGAATGACATAAATTACATGGGCTGTCTCTTTCTTTTGCACGTCTTCAATATATCGATTATGCTGGAGGTTCGGCTGATCTCTTTGTTAGAAAATTTAAAGGACAGTGCAATCGAGATAACTCATCTATGAATTTATAATGAGCTTATAATTTTTTCATTTTACCCTAATTAGTATATCCATGTGGTAGAATTTTGAAAAAATGAAAACTAAGCTGACATTTTTCGTCCTATGCCCCCATCATGACCCGCTTCGAAGAACATTAACTAAATGTTATCTGCTGTGCATGAAAGCAATGCATATACACTCTTTTTCTATGAGAACCAGAAATTTAATTTCAGGCTGGTTGTTCTTAATATTTTTTCAAAATTTGAGGCTAGATTGCTCTTAGTTTGTTCTTAAATTATTAGGGTTTAAGCAGTGCAATTGCTAACTAGTGATCCCTGGGGGGTTTTCAGGCCTCATTTGTCAACAAAGTCGATTAGGCCTCTTTTATTTGCCGACAAGTTTGAAAACTAACCGAAAACACACACCTAGATTGCAATTACTTGTCTTATAGATGTGTTGCAATATCTGTGTTGCGAAACGGTATTCTTAATGATTTGTCATCTGAGTGTTGGACAAAAAGGAATTTTTGTGGAATTACATCTGTCCCCTTCAAAGAAATATGATGGCTTTAAGGTACTTAAGCACTCCAAAAAGGCAAGAATTTTGGAAGAATTTCACAAATCGAGATTTTATTGCAAAAATGTTCGATCGGTATTCATCATTCAGTGTGCGAGAGGTTTTCGCTGTATTTCTACCCGTTTTATTATCGTTTAATACGGGTAGAAAAATTTTGATCGTTTTTGCTTCATGTCCAGGCACAAATGTGTTGCCTGGAAAAATCAAATCGGTAATTAAGCCTTCTCAAAGAATATCTCCTAAAAATTGTGTTCTACGTGATTCACTTGATACCAATTTCTTGATAAATCAATATACACATGCAGAGCACCTGCGCTTACACATAGATTGATGTCTCTACTTTGTCTTCTAGTTTTTACATCAATCATCTTGTCATCATGATCATCATTATGAGTGAGCCCGGGTTGTGATCTCAATCATCACACCTTACTGGCATATATTCAAAATTAGCCTCCCAATGTCAACCAACTTTCTTAAATTTCAATCAGAAAACAACAAATGCCGGACATTCTTCCAGCCCATGAACAAAGGAGGAAAACAACACAAATAAGGTGACAAATTGATGGGGTTCCCCTGACCCTTTTCTTTTCAACATCATTTATTTCAGGTTTTTATTGTGGATTAACCTTTCTTTAGATTTTGATATACATCCAACATATAAAAATTTTCACTTCGTATATTTCAATTTTTCTTATCACGTGAAAATTATTCTGAGCACCTGCACGCTTCTGCCAAAAGGCAAAGAACAAAGAAGAGAATATTGGTACTAACAGCAACCATAGGACGGAAGATTCTAAAACATACGAAGGAGAAGATCACTCGCAATGAAGACAACAAAAATTATGGAGATATCAACTTGTTCATTACAAATATTAATTAAACCTTTACAATATTCTAAGAATCTATTACAAAAAACAATAACTATTTTCATTTTATTTCTAACTTTTACAGCTCAATTAGAACGTAAGTTCCTTTTCATTAAGTTTGTATACTTTATCTGAATTCTCTAGGTAAGCTCATAATTGGAAACACATTATTACTTCTTTTACCGCCTCTCAAGTCTTTAACTAAGCGTGATTTCATTGCCTTCAACCGTCTACCTAGCTTTTTAAAATCTTTGAACCTATTTTTCTCAACAGAGTCATTTTTGACTGCATTTTGGTAGGCGATAGCATTTTCTGCCTCCCTACTCAGTTTAACTTTCTTCAAAGTCTGATTTTGACAATCTACATTGCCTTCATAACAAAGTGAAGAAGCAGTTTTTAGAGAACTCCAGTCGCCTCTGTGGCCTGCCAAAAGGCTTAGTCCGTTTGTTACGTCACATAATGGCTCATCACGTTTTCTTTTTAAACCCCTATTTAAAGTTGCATTGAATGAGTAACTCTTATCAACTGGTGTCAGTGGGCCACATGTAGCTCCATTCAAATTGGTTGCAGAGCTCACAAATTGACAGGCTTTACTATTGATTGGTAATGGCCTTTCAGATTCAATTAAAACTTCATTTTCTCCAAAAATGCTGTCAAGTGGTATGTAAGAAATACAGTTGCTCTGCAGTGGCATTTCTGCCCTAGCATTGTCAATGCTCCTCAAAGCAGCCTCACATTCTACATCATCTACTTGGCCAACTGACCGTGGCTCATTTTGCTTTTTCAACAAATTATCATAATCACATTGCTCTTTATCTAGCGAGGCGTTTTCACTAACATTAGATCTTCGTTTCTTAGGATGATAGTATTTTGGATCACTTATTGGTTTAGGAACATATGCGAAACTATCATCAAGAAATCCATCAACAGTTTCTCCTTCATTATCACAGGCAGCATTAGAACTGAATAAGAGTTCTTCAAATTTCGAGTTTTTCAGTTTGAAGATATTTCCAGCTGACAGCTTGTTCTCTGTGGAACCAACATCCAGCTTCATCACAGTTTTCAAAAGCGCTAACTCCATTCTCTTCTTCTGCTTTTCTAAGTTCTTGGCGAACTCCGCCATATCAAATTTCGTCAGCATGTAGAAGAGTCTGATGTTGTTTGATGTATTGATTTTGCCTGAACCCTGCAAAGTGAACAATGTTTTCTTTTGTCACCACAAAATTAAATCGTCAATGTATATGCTAGGGATTTTAAATAAATTTACAAATTTTAACATAAATTATTACAATTGCAAAATGAAGTGTGTTTTGCTACATTAAATTAATCAGAATTCTTGAACCCAAAATAAATACACCAATGTAAGTGCAATAGTTCTGCAATTGGATTTACAATATCTAACTATATAAACACTGACACTGACATTAGATCCGCAGTCGGCTAAGAAATGATCTGAAAAGTTATTGAAAAGTTACTGAAAGCGATTTATTAGCTTACATTTGTTAATTTGTTTACCTTCTCAACAACAGCTATGCTGAAGAAGAATGTGTCCCAGGATTGAACGATGTTCTGAATGAGACGTGCAAACTTCTTTGTAGAAGATATGACAGCTTGATCTTTTGTCTGCAATAATATAAAACAACAAATAAGAAAATAACTTTATTTTTGTTGCATTTAAGTATCACAATGCAAATAGGTTATTCTATTATGCGAACTTTGTTCCCTATTTAAGACAGTTTCGCTACAACGACCGTGAACTTACAAATAGGTGGAAAACTCACCATCAAATGGAGATCCTGAAGAACACTGAGACAAGCCTTTGCTTGGGTCTTTATCTGCAAATAGATATACAAAAATTCAATTTCTATTTAATCAATAAGATTTTCGGCTTTTTGTTTCTCTGTCAGTTAGCGGAAGATATCGATATTTTTTTATAATATAAAAGCCGTTCTTACCTGAGCGAAGGAGAATGTTCGGTACTCGACATCATGAAGCTTTTGCAGAATCCTCTTTCTTGGCGATTCGATGTCCGTCATGTGCTTTATGATCGAGAAGAAGGCATCTATAAAGAAGTATGAAAACGTATTCAATCAAGCAAGCTACTAACATTTTATTGATGATAAAGAAAGCTGTTTTAATGAGAAAATATTATTGATATGTCAATCTAAGCGCAAACCAAAAGAAACTCACTCAAATTCTGCAAGAAGAACTCGTAGTTTGCAACGAGAGGACTGGGAATTTCATTCTGGGTTAGTATCACATTGGCTTCCTGCAATGAAATAATTACATCGGTTATAATAAAATCATTCTGATAAACATATTGTGTTTCTTAAATGAAAAACATGTGTTATGTATATTGAGGTTGCCGTTAAGCTTGAAAAAGATGAATTGTTGCCTCACACGCATTCAGAATTCTTTTAAAGCAGAAGCGTTGTCTAAATATTCTCTTAATTGTTTTTTTTGTTTAGTTCAATGTTTCATACGCCCTTTATTTCACTAGAGTACTATCAATAGAAGACTAATGATTTATGTACATATCAGGTTAAATCTCTAATTATTCAATTTGAACAAGACAATTAAAAGAAGAATTCTTCCAGGTACACCGAAGCTCGAACCTCTTTATCATGTTTGCCATGGAGATCGCCCCTAGCAACAATGACCCTTTTCTTGCATTCCCCAGTCTGATAGATGTTGGACCCTTTTTGGAGGGATTTTTGGCCCTATTGATTATCATTTCAAGAAAACGTTAAACAAGTTTAAAAATTTTTGGATTTTATTGAACAGCTATTTCTTGAGCATCTCTGTGCTCAAATGCTTGGAACCATTTAATGATTTATTCTTGGCTAAGGGT